AGCAGCAGAAGATCGGCCACTCTGATAACTCCTTCACTGGCAAAAAGCCCGCTCAGGTCAAGGATCTTCCTGGCGATCTACTTCTTGCTAAGCAAGAGACGCCCTTGGCTCGCTCGGTCTCTGAGACCCTTCGCGATGGTCAGAGCAACTTCCCCGGGAACTCGGAGACGGTTTCCTGGAGGGAAGATGTCCTCAACACTGCGTTGGCCATGTGGCTGGATGAGAAGATTCGCGTCACTGTCTGCCCTCGCGGAACTTTCTTGGATGCCGGACTCAGCGAATGCGTCTCTTTCAGCGAGCTCAAGGATGATGAGTTGCACATCACTACTGGTTTCCTTCCTGAAGAGGAAGCCAACTTGGCGACGTGGCAGCCTCTTCTTGCTTGCATGATTGGCGAAGCTATCCTCTACCACACTGCCCGCGGCATTATCGGTTTGGATACCGCTAAGGCCGTCCATGCTGAGCACATCCTTTCCGGTGCTGACCGTTCCTTCACCGTCTCCAAGAGAATCGCCTTCCAGCTTGCTACTGAGGACAGACAGGGTCTTTACAGGATCCGCGAGCAGACCAACCAGGAGCTGATGAAGCATCTTTGCCTTGAGACTAGCATCGACTCCGAGTGGGTTTCTCTCCCTCGTCCAGTCCAGGAGACCATCCTCTCCCGTATCCAGGGCATGTCTGCCTCGCAGTCTCGCGACTTCCCCACCTGGATGGAAGAGAAGGGCGTCGACCTCCGCTGCAGCAACTTCCACGTCAAGCTCTGCCTCGAACTCTACCTGATGGCCGGCGAGCGCGTGATGATGTACAACTCTGCCTTTAACACCTCCACCGACACCCTCTGCTACTTGCCTGAACCCGACAGCGAGAGCCAAGAGACCTCGCCTCTCATGGACAACGGAAAGAAGGGCAAGCACCTGCACTGGACTCACAAGATTCTTTTCTACGTCCCTCTCAACTTTGTCAAGTGGGTCGCCATCATCTCGGGCGCCGGTTCCAACATTGAGCGCGAGCTGTGGTACTCCCTCCGCAAGATGCCTCGCATTCGCAAGGTCCTCATGTGGCTCATCCTTGCCATTTGCCAGATGTGCTTCCAGATCCGCGATACCTGGATCTTTATGATTCTCATCTTCCACCACAATGCGCTTGTGCAGATCTGGCGCTTGGCTCGCAAGGGAACCCCCAGGACTTTGTACAAGAACCGCATCGTCGTGGTCATGCGCAGAAGGGCTTTGACTGGCTTTGCTAAGCTGAACGAGTACGGCAAGTTGATGCTCAACATCTACGAGGGTCACCTCAAGGAGGCTCCGGAGGAGAAGACGCAACCTGTTGCTACTGCTGTTTATGATCACACCTACCGTCTCATCACCAAGTCCGTCAAGAAGGGCAAGGACGAGGTTCTCTCGTCGTTCACCTACGGTGAGGGCAACAAGTCTAGACGCCCAACTGAGAAGTACGTCGTCGATGGCACCACCGTCAAGCGCTGCCACTACGATGAGAGACGCCGCATCTCCCACGGTATCATCAAGTTCGGTAATGTCGAGTATTCTTTCCGCTACTTCTACAAGTCCAGTGATAAGGGTTCTCATGATGTGCTTAAGGCCGAGTACGAGCTGAAGGCCGACCATCCCTTCGTCCTGACCGTCTACTGGGGTACTCCTCCCAAGGAGAAGGTCGGGGAGTGCAACTGGACTCCCTCCGACCGCGTCGGCCAAGTCGACCGCAGCACTTACGGCAGAACCTTCACCACCGTCATCACCTACCCCCATCGTCGCGACCCCGTTGAGACCACCTACATGGAGGAGAACGGCAGACAGATTACTGTCGACCGCCCGCCCCGTATCTTCGAGCACGAGGACGTCCTTCTGCAGAGGCCTACTGATGTCTCCTTCGAGGATGACGATCTCTTCATCTACCACCGCCGCTCTTCTGTTGAGCGCATGGCCAAGAACCTCAAGCAGACTTACTCGTTCGCCTCTCGTCTCAATCCCATGTCCTGGTTTTCCATGCGCAAGAAGTCCATCTACCGCCCTGTTCCCACCTGGTGGCTGCGTACCGAACTCTGGGATATCTGGCGCAAGTCCGGCACTCTCGATGCTGTCACCGCCTGCTGGATGGACGAGCTCATTCTCCGCGAGGAACCACTTCTCCGCCGGTACTGGTCTGCTAGAAACAGTGGTCAGCTCTCTCAGGCACGCATGATTCTCGACGCCGACATTGACCAGATTTCCGCTGCTATCGAGATTGAGAAGCACGTTGGCGAGCTGTGCATGTTACCGATCAAGACTGCTGACTTGTACGCCATGGGTCTCGGAAAGGATGCCAACCAGATCACCACCAAGCCGCAGGACTGCTTCAATGACTCGGAGAACCGTATCTCGGTCATCTTCAACGATATTGGATGCTGGCCTGAGTCTCCCGGTGGTGTCTCCAACTGCCGTCGCGATCTTGTCAACGGTCATACCACCATCCGCAACCACGTCTTGGCTGAGTCTGCCAACGAGTATGGTATCCCGCGCTTCCAGGTTGAACGCAACGTTCAGTCGCTCAAGGTCGTGCCTCTGTGGGGTCTCGATGGTCGTGTTCCTAACCACGGTCTCATTGAGAACCTTCTCGAGATGCAGGTCGAAGACAAGATTGTCCGCACGGACATCGATCGCGACGTCGTTGACACCTTCATTCCGCTCCTCCGTCTCTTCGTCAAGGGTGCTCGCTCGCGACACATCTCCAAGCCTGATATGTACCGCTACAGCAACGCCATCCTCGACATGTTCCAGTACTTTGAGCACAAGGATTACAACAAGACTTGGAACTCCAAGGAGGTCGCTGCCGCTTGGGCTGAGGCCTGGCTCATCAAGTACGATGACCCGGATATCGCTGATCCCGAGGACAACCTGGCGGTTCAGCAGCCTACCATGTCGGACTTCCGCGACTCGCTTGCCATCTTCTCGTCGTACTTCTTCATCTACGCCGTCCAAACTCCTGAGAACTGCCCCAAGGTCTTCCAGAGCACACATCACGGTATCAGCTCCATGTTTGGTGTCTTCCTCAAGTACCAGCGCGGTGCCACCTTCGGTATTTGGGATCACGCCATTCTCTGGCGTGAGTGCTGCCTCAACCTCAGTCCTGCTCAGTCGACTCTGCCCATCCCAGTGCAGTCCATGGTCCTCGCTGGTATTGGTCTGGCCATGAAGCTCGCCTACTTCCACGCCGATGTCATCTTGCCTTGCACGTCCTTCTTCAACCCCATCTGGGAGACCTCGCTCGGTACCGACACCAACCGCATCGGCCACGAGAAGAAGTTCGCTCGCAAGATTGATCCCATCATCAACGGTGTCAGCAACATGGATGCCTTCAAGCCTGTTGATGAAGTTCGTACCACCACGCCCACCGTCGTCATGTTGTCCAACGTGCAGTTCATCAAGGATATCCGCACTGCCATCCGCGCTGCCGACGTGATCGTCAACCAGTACGGCTTCAAGGAGTACCGCCTCTTCATCTACGGCGCCAAGGACCGCGAGCCCGAGTACGCCATCAACATGACCAAGCTGATCGAGGGGTGCAAGCTCACCGAGCACGTCATCCTCAAGGGCTTCGGCAAGCCTCAAGAGATTCTCAAGGACGCCTGGCTCTTCATGAACTCGTCCCTCTCCGAAGGCCTCCCGCTCGCCGTCGGCGAAGCCGCTCTAGCCGGTGTCCCCGTCGTCGCCACCGCCGTCGGCGCCACAGCTCTCGTCCTCACCGACCCTGACAACCCGTCGGTCGCCTACGGCGAAGTCGTCCCGCCCAACGACCCCGTCGGTCTCGCTCGCGCCCAGATCTCCATGCTCGCCATGGCCGGTCCCTGGGCCAAGTTCGCCGGCGACGTCGACAAGCGCGGCTCCGTCCTGCCTTCCCTCATGCTCCCTGATAACCTAACACCTACCGACGTCGCCTTCCTCACTAAGCGCATGCACGAGAAGACCGATGCCCGTCGCAAGCTCGGCATGTTGACCAGAGAAGTCGTCCTCAAGGGCTTCCACGGCGAGCGATACCTGCGCGAGCACGAGCAGATGTACTGGGTGCAGTGGCACATGGCCAAGATGCGTCGGGACCCCGGCCTGATGCGCCGTCGTGCGCTCGTCAGGAGAAGCGAGATCAGGACCTTCGGAAGGAACTCGGTCCAGGGATCGCAGATGGGCGAGTATGATGGCGAGAGCACGGTTATCTATGGTGGTAGCGAGGCAGGGGTGTGGGATGAGTACAGGGAGGAGAACTCGAGGAGTCGGAGCAGTTACCAGGGACAGAGGGGGAAGAGGCTGAGTAAACAGCATGTGAGGGAGTTTGAGTTGTCGAGGTTGACTGTTGCTACGATAGGTGGGGCCGGGCCGAGCGGGTTGAGCTCGGGGAGGGTTAGTATGGTTAGTCAGAGGGATATTGTTTGATGGTAATGCATTGAGAGGTGTTTCGGGGAGTAATGAGTTATGAGTTGATGAACAGGCAAGCACGAAAGTGGGGGTGGGAGAGGAGGATCTAGGAAAGGCGGAAAGAAGGAAGGAAGGAACCAACATCGGAATCATGATCACATACTGGGACTGGTTTTTTTTTTCTTGTATTATCCCAAAAGCGTTGCTTTTAGCTGCAAGCGAGCATGACTAGTTTAGATCAATCGTTACTGCCTCTTTATGAGATCTTTGTCTTGGGAAATCATCACCCTGTCTCCCCATCATGTCTTCTCGGCAACCAATTCGATCGTGAATAACTTCCTTCCTTCCCGTTGCAGGATGAGACTTCAGGCTTAGGTACCAGGTCGTTCCGAGAATAAGAACGGATGTAATGTTGCGAACATCCAAGGATCCCTTCTCAAGCCGACGAAACATTTCATCCAGGAGGACAGAGTTGATAAACAAACTTCCATTTAACCATATAAATTGGACGTAGCACCGTTGCTAATGTACAAGATACGTTCTTGGATGAAAATAGAGAACGACTTGCCCTGCAAAGAGCTACCTTGAACATCATAACAGACCCACACGTGAGACCACATCACAGCCTGACATGGTCGTTCTTTATTGGCTCCGTGCCGCGACCGGGAATAGTGGGCCCCTGGTTTGAACGCGCCTGGGCTACCCATTCGCGACACATCACTCTGATTTCGAACTCCATCCTCCATTCTCTGAACACATAACCACGACCTCACCCTCCCTTCCGTTGTCACCGTCATGGTCCGCACTCGAGCTCAGACAGGCTAACCCTTAACAGGAAAGCGACCCCAGGGCATCCTCAAAAGCGCACCTCGAAAACGCGGTCGCCTCCGAGAGCAACCCGCAAGCCGTTCTACAACCAGCCAGACGTCGTCTCATCAAGTATGCCTTCTATCAGCCCCGACCCAGACCCAGACCCGACAGGGCAAGCACACGCCACAAGAGCAAGCTGGATCAGATCAAGCCGAATTCCAGCCATATCCAACGGGTGGACCACTAAATCGAAAGGTATGACGGGCGCTGTCCTCCTTGTGATCTGGTAGCTAATATACTATAGAATCGAGAAGTATCCGTCGAACGCAAAGGCCGGAAGCCGTTGCCTGCCGTTGCAGATCCACTCGAGCACACTTCAGACGAACACTCTCGGAAACGCCGACGAACATCTCTTGGACAGCAAGACCCTCCTCACCACTCTCCCCGTTTCGCAGGGAATTCTCCGCCCCTCTCCAGGCCGTCCGCTCATCGTCTCGAGCCCCCAGCTTTGCCAGCATCGCTCGCTCCCGTCCCGGTTCCGGCAGATGGCGACACCGAGGAGAGGCGAGATATAATCGATTTCTGGAGGAAAGAGGGGTCTTGGCCCAAGAAATATTTCGAACAGGACGACTATACCAGGAATCATTTCGAGAAGGAATTGGATCCAACCACAAGGCTTCAAATGCTTCTTTTCGAACGTTACGATCCAGCCGCAAGGCGTCTTTTCGTGAAGAAGGCATCTCTCAGCGTGGAACTGTTAGATCCAGATCGCTTGCGGCTAACTTCTATGCCGCCACCTTCTACAATTATGACGCCTAGCGATCAGAGACCAAGAGAAGAGAAGAGCGCCCCGTACTGGAGTGTCCAATACCAGTTCGTACTCGAGGCCATGGGTTCATACATGAAGAGGTCACCGTTAGGTATTACGGATGAGAGTAGAAACCTTTGCAAGACCCTCCTCGATACTGAACAACCGGCTCCTGAAAATTCACTCTTCGACGACGATATCTTTGAGAAGGTCTGCGATAAGCTTCTGAACAAGAACGAGGCTAGGGTTATTCAAGACATTTCTCGGCTGATCGCTCCTTCAGTGGAGCATCACGCCCTTCGTGCCAAACACCTCGAACACCTCGACCTTACCGAAAGTGTGAATGAGGGCTGGAACAATTCAGTCCCCTTGACCGGCATCCTTCGTCCTCAACCCGATTACTCCGTTGGTTTCGGACGAGACGCATTCACTAAGGAGCAGATCGATAAACTACGGCCATTTATTGGTGACTCTCTCCCCGGAGACCAGTCCTTTTTTATGGCCACGCACTATATGTACTTCCCGTTCCTAACCTGTGAGGTGAAGTGTGACTTCACGTTCCTAACCGGTGAGGTGAAGTGGGACGCTGGAGCACTCGATATCGCAGACCGACAGAACGCCCACAGCATGACACTTGCGGTGCGGGCCATCGTCGAGCTCTTCCGTATTGTAAAGCGCGAAGATGAGGTTAACCGGCAAATTCTCGCCTTCTCCGTCTCGCACGACCAGCAATCTGTACGGATCTACGGCCATTACCCGGTAATAACGGAGAAAGACACCGAATATTACCGGCACCCGATCCGCAATTTTTACTTTACTGACTTGGACGGCAAGGAGAAGTGGACAGCGTACCGATTTGTCAAGAATGTCTACGAGATATGGGTGCCCGATCATTTCAAGAAGATCTGCTCTGCCATTGACCAGTTGTTGGTGCCGGATTCCGGTGTTTCATCGCTTTCTGAGGCAACTGGACTTTCGCAGAACTTGGGGAATCTGATGCAGTCAGAGCAGCCTACGGCGACTCCATCGCAGGACTTGGGGAATCCGATGCAGTCAGGGCAGCCTACGGCCACTCCAGACACCTCATTTACAAGACCGGAGGCGGCAAAGAGGAGGAAGGGTCAAGTCAAGACATGAACAGTATCGTTTGGGTATCAAGTGTTACGCGAAGAAGATGTTTCACCAGTGATATTGACAGAGAATAATAGAGTGAGCAGCTGGTTGTTGGACAGAGCAACAGTGCGTAACAGTTAGCGACAGTGTTGTCAAAGGAAGCACAAGACAGACACTGCCGAGAGCCTCAACCTGGAACCTCACACACGACTTCACAGAGCGTGAGCAAGATAGACAGTAGGTTGTAAGGTATTGATTGATTGGCCCGTCAACCTTGACAGAGGGAGACGGGGTGAGTAATCTTATATGTCGAGCATGGGTCACGACACAGTGGGGTATCCAGGCACCTGCCCGGAATATCCCATAACATCAAGCCGTTGTGATGGTCAGTTGGTGCCCTCGGTCCTCGAGGAGACAAATTGATTCACCTGATATCCTGTTTATTCAGCCTTTTTACGCACAGAATCATGTCGTCACTTACGCCCCAGCGCTCATGGTCTGCAGCTTGTACTGCTCGTCGCCCTTCTTCCTCTCCTCCTCAATGATTTCCTGCACCGACTTGGATCCCGTGCTGTCACCGTAGTATTTCTCGGCCAGTTCGATAGTGCGCAGGTTGGCCGCCAACTTGTTCATGGTCTCCATCCACTCTTCGGTCTTCTCACTGTCAAAGACAATACCACCCCCAGCCTGCAGGTAAGCAACCTTATTCTTGACCAGCATGGTGCGGATAGCAATGCAAGTATCCATCTGTCCTTCGCTCAGGAAGGTGGTAACAGGGGCATCACCCTCACCACCCTCGACGCGAACGACATCGTAGGCGAACCAACCGGCAGCGCCAGCGTAGACGCCGCGCTTCTCCTTCTCCAAGTCGTAGATCAGCTCCATGGCACGAATCTTGGGCGCGCCCGACACGGTACCGGCGGGGAAGATGGAGCGCAAAGCGTCCCAACGGGTGCATTCGGGGCGCAGCAGACCGGAGACCTCCGAGGTGATATGCTGGACGTGAGAGAAACGGTCGATACGCATGAGGCGGTCGACCTTGACGGTGGACGGGTGGCAGACACGGTTAACATCATTGCGGGCAAGATCGACCAACATGACGTGCTCGGCGCGGTCCTTGGTCGAGGCCAGCAGCACGGCCGCAAGGGCATCGTCCTCCTCCGAGTTGAGGCCACGCTTGATGGTACCAGCAATGGCGTGGTTGACGATCCTGGGGCGAGAGCGGGCCTCGGCAGCGCTATAGCCAAAACGGGTATCCGCAGGAAGGTTGGCATAGCCGTCGGTCTTCATCAGACATTCGGGCGAGGCGCCAACAATGTGGAAGTCGGAGCACGAGAGGAAGAAGAGGTAGGGCGAAGGGTTGAGCGTGCGCAGAGTGCGGTAGATGTTGAAGGGGTGCAGGCTGGTGCTGCGAGAAAAGCGCTGAGACGGGACAGCCTGAATGATGTCACCCTTGACAATGTTCTTCTTGAGCTCCGTCACAAAGTTCTCGTAACCGTGGCGTCCAACGTTGGAAGAAAATGTCTGGTCGGAGGCGGGAGTGCTGGAGTCCTTGGGCGGGAGCGGCGTCTCGGGCTGGTTAATCACATCGAGTGTCGAGCGAATGCTGTCGCAAGCCGCGTTGTATGCCGCCTCGAAGTCGCCGGAAGGGTCCTCGGGAAGTCTGACATGGGTGACGACGGTGAAGGCGGAGGAGAAGTGGTCAAAGGCAACCATGGTATCGTAGAGCATGAAGAGGGCCTCGGGAATGTGCAGGTTGTCCTTGAGTTCGCGACCCTTGACCGTCTTGGGCTCGAAGTACTTGATGCAGTCGTACGAGATGTAGCCGACAGCGCCGCCGGTCAGCCTGGGGAGTCGGAGGGAGGGGATGCTGAGGACCTTGTCCTTGGCGAGCTCCTGTTCGAGGGCTCTCATGGGATCGCCGACATCTTGGTAGCCGGGGCCGGTCTCGAGGACCTTTCGGGGGTTGGCTCCAATGAAGCTGTAGCGGCCGACTGTCTCGGTGCCGCCATCGGCGCTCTCGAGGAGGAACGAGTATTCAGCTGTCGCTCTAGCCGAGTGAGTCAATTGAGCTATTCGGAACGGGACGCAAGACGAGGGAGAGGTTTGGGAGGAAGACGCACCCTGCGGAGAGCTTCAGGTAAATGGCCGAGGGCGTCAACAGGTCGGCAGGCAAGGAGATGCACAGAGGGAGAAGGGTGGGCCTTGCTGATGCTTGGCATGTCTGGTCGAAGAGCTTGCGCGCGTCCTCCAGGGACGGCCTGATGTCGAGTGCAGCCATCTTGAACTGGTGTAACGTTTACTGAACAAACGGGAGGGTATTCCCTGGGTGGGATTTAAGTCGGTGGATTTGCGAGAGAGATATCAATGTGGCCGATCGCGGACGCTATCGCAACCGTCAAAGTGGCAGCATGTCTCGCTATAATTTTCACCGCCTGCCGCGTTAGTGACTCACGGAGTGGAGTTGCCCGCCAAAAGGCGCCGAAAGGGCGGGGTTTTGTTCCTGGCTGAATGGAAGCAACCTTGACGGCCGATAAGCCGATAAGCTGGTAGCAAAGGTACATCATGCGCCAGTCACCTTGTTAGTACTTGTGCATAATGCAGGCTGGTCTGCTAACTGACTCGGTCAATCAACAAGTTACTTTATTGATGTTATTGAATGACCGTTCCGGCTCTCACCAAGACTCCGGATTTGGTCTCATCAACATTGGGCCCACTTCCAGCTGCCAGTGTGTATGTTTTCTCAATTGTTTGATCATCATTGATGCCATACTCTCCCATCGGGGTATATATAGAGTCAAGAGGAAAGATATGGTCGTGTCATCCAGTCGTCGATTCGTCAACCGTGGCATTTGATGTCTTATCTCATCAATGCCCTCTTCTCCCGGTGCTCTCGTCCCGGCCATACGACCTCATCCTATTTCGATTCCTGTGTCCTGACCTCCCTGCCATCAACTGCCATTCTCTCCTTTAGTACCTCGAAACACTCCGACTCCGACTCCTCCTATCGCTCCTCCCCCTCCGATCATCATACGTATACGTCGGCTGCGCCACCACGACCGGCACCTCCCTCATCGACGACCTCCTCGAATGGCTCCTATGCGTGGAATGACCGCGATGACGACTGTGCGAATGCCTCGACCTCGACCTTGAGTGCCTCACCCCGCCCACGTGTCGGGGCGGGTACTCATCCCTCACGCCATTGTACCAAGCCTTGCCGTTGGGCTTGTCGTCTGTTGGTGGAGCGCCCAGGTTGGAGCAGCTGCGGAAGATCCAGATGAGAAGAAGCAAGCCGGCGATAGAGCCGATGACGATGCCTGCGATGGCACCGCCGCTGAGGGTTTGAGCGTCATCGGGGTCGTTGTCATTGTCGGCTTGGACGACGGTTACTGTAGCGGCGGGTGGGGCGTCTTGCCGCCGGGTGATGGGACTGAAGGTTCTTGTGGGGTGGATGGCTTCAACTCCTTGGAGAGCTGGGTACACGACCCGTTTGAAGACCAAGTTTTCGAATTTTTGGACCGTTGAGGCGGGTATGCGTGGGAGTGGTAGGGGAGCCATGGTAGATTGTTTACAGACTCGCCGAGTTGGATGGCCTCACTGCTTCACTTTTTGATGGGATGTGAAGACTGTGTGAAGAAGACCCTGGGAATGAGAGGTGAGTGAAGGTTAGTTATAAGGGGATCCTTCGTCTTGAAGGGGATGTCTGTCCCTGGCATGTCAGGAACCAAAGCTGTTTTTCATGACTGCACGATGCGCACATGTTTGCCGGTTTTTCCATTCTCATGTTAGTTGAGGTTGAGAGCCGGTGATGTAATTGTACATGATGGAGGGCATCTCCCAACGATATTTTTGTTTCGGCTTTTGCGTGATGCTGAAGCTTGGATTCTCAATGGTCAGTCACCAAAACATGGCTGAAAACACGAATGGGCTCGACAGCCACGTGTAGCCCGGTCGTCGATCATGGCAAAGCTTCCTCGGCTTGCGGGTAAACAACATCTCGAGGGGAGACAAGGAGGGGCATGGGATTCTATATCTTGAAGCCGATGGAAATTGATCGTTGGAGTGCTGAAGACATGTATGCTGTGATCACTCGTCATCAGGAGCGGACAGAGTTAGTGAAGAGTTTCCCTGATTGAACCCTTGGTTTGGGAATGATATTTGATGATATTAAGCAGGAATTCTTCAATGGCGAGGTCGCGACAAAGGACGGACAATTTTCCGGCAGATGCATCATGATGTCATCTTATAGGCAGGCACAAAATCCCCACCTTTCTCGCGAACTCCCGTCCTCACGGGCCCCGGCACCCCACCCTTCCGCTTCTGTCCACTTTTGACGTTCTTGTTTCATTTCTCTCCACATCTCAACTGCTCTGCCATTTTGCCATCAATCTTCGCATCGAGACTGCAATGGCAAAACACCAAAACATGTGTTCCTGATGATCGCCAGGGACCAATCGGTCTTGATTGGACTTCTGTTTGCGTCGTTCCTTTTTCAAGTTCATCAACGTTTCCACTAGAGTCGTGCCTGGTGAGCATGACCAAGGCACAGTCACTTGAACACTAACAGAAATTGGTACAAGTGTCCCCAGCTACTGTTAGTGTCTTTCACCACTGCATAAAGTCCTGCCGTATTCGCGTCGCGGTGCATCCTCCATATCATTGGCATGGCGCCCGGCTCCCCGGCTGATCTCCAACGTCTTCCGAACTTCAAGGTGCCGGATCCGGGTCCGAAAAGGACTGACAAAGCGCAGGACTTTGCGAGTTCCTGTACCAAGTACCATCACACAGCCACACCAGTTGTTATTGTCCTTTTCATCTCATGTCGCTTTGTCCCTGGCTATCGACATGATTGGCTTTTTTTGTGGCTTGGCCAGGGCAACGCCTCCCCAAACTGCTAACAAGCTATCACTAACAACAACAATCGCAACAAGGTTTGCTTGTTGTTATTGTGCACCGAAACCTTAAGAATAATCTACGATGCTTACACAATGATGGCAACGGCCAATGCACTTGTGCCAAGGGGGGCACTCACCAGCAACTCTTCTTCTCTCCTTCAATCGAGGATTACCTTACGAAGACACTCGCCGGCATCATGAGCTTAGGAAATAGCATCGTACAGCGTGCTCTCATCACCTATCATGATCTGAGCATGGCGACCAAGGCGGCGCTCGCCATTTCGATCGCCCTCGTCCTGTACAGATTCTTATTCCGACATGAGTCCACCAGACGCAAGGAGTTGCCAGCTTGGGGACCCATTGAAATGGGGCTTGTCATGTACTTGCTGGATGGAGCACATAACAGCATGGTCTATCGGATCTAGTATGTCAACCTTGTGCGCGATATTGATCATATCCGCTAACATGCATTACCTACCAGCTCTACAATCCGTCGATACGGTGGCTCGTTCTACGGCATCTCATCGGCAAATCAGACTCTCATTGGGTATGAAGACGTCGATCGCCTGTTTTCGTCTCAGATGAACCACGCCCTCAGCATCGAGTGGCATGGATATGGCCTCTTCCTCCGTTTCTTCGGGTTTCCCGACACACCAGCTTTGAGGAAGAAGGTCGAAAGCACGTTCAAACCTTGGCACTCTCCAATCGAAAGGGTCTTCAACAACGATGCCGGTGCCACTGCAGCCTTTGAGAGGGGTAATCTTCCCAAGATGGTGTCCGAATTCGTCAGTTTCAGCCAGGAGAAGGAGAAGATGAAGAGATGGGAACTCCGTGCCGATACCAAGGTTATCAAACAAGGTGAAGCGGTCGAGGCCAATTTCTCAGCTCTGATCATGGACTTTGGTGCTTGCTTCACCATCCCACCCATCTTCGGCCACGACCTGCTGGATCGCAACCCGCACCTCCTGGAAGACATCTGGAAGTTCGACCATGTTGTTCCGCTGCTGTTCATCAACATGCCGAAGTGGGTTCCGTTCAAGGTCATGAAGGAGGGACTAAAAGCTCGGAAGCGGCTGCTTGACGGAGTTGAGGCTTTCTCACGCCGCGTCACCCAGTTTCAGCGAGGAGAGAAAGTTGACGACGCCGCTGAGATGTCAGATGTCAGTGATGTTGTGCTGGAGCGCAATACTGCTCTGAAACGGAATGAGTGGTCTTACAAAGAGCGTGCCGCCTCCGAGTTGCTCGTCCTTTTTGCCAGCAATACCAACACTCAACCAGTCCTCTTCTGGCTCGTTTTGTACATCTACTCCACGTCGGGGCTGGTAGACACACTCCGCAAGGAGGTTGCGCCCTTCGTCACTCTTTCCAACTCGCACAACAAAAAAGAAATCACGGCGATAGACACTTCCGGCATGTCCCGCGAATGCCAGCTCCTCAAGTCCATCATCCTCGAAACCCTCCGCCTCGCATTCGGTGCCGTTTCCACTCGCTTCGTCAAACGCCCCATCACCGTCCAAGACGGCAACCACACACACCAGCTCCATCCAGGCACCTTCCTATCCGTCGCTCACTCCTTCTCCCAGCGGGACCCATCCTTGTACCCCGACCCAGACAAGTTCGTCCCCGATCGCTTCCTCGAGACGGATCCCTCGTCCGGTAAACTGGTCGCCAAGTACGGAAAGCTGAGGCCGTGGGGCGCTGGGGCGAGCATGTGCAGAGGAAGGCTGTTTGCGGAGAAGGAGCTGATGGCTATCGGCGCGGCGCTGGTGATGCTGTGGGATATCAGTCCCGCTGGTGGTTGTGAGTGGAGGCTGCCGGAGATGGTGGGCGGCCCGGGACCGGTGAAGCCGAAGGAGGATGTTAGGGTTGTGATTCAGCGGAGGGTGTTTGTGTCTTCGGAGTAAACGTAGCGCTAGTGTTCTTAACGGTGCTTTTGGGGTAGAATGGTTCAATCCAGTGTGCTTTCCGCCGTCTTTCTGCCACCTGGTGATTCACCTCATGGTACTTGAGTGCCACCTCTTCCGCCAAAGGGATTATGCCCACAGCAGCGGCTCTTCTGATACCCTGTGAGCTCGGCTGTACGTTCTTTGTCTCCAGCAGCCATATCAATACTGAGATTGGTCGAGATCAGCAATACTGTACTACCTAGGCTGGATGCGGTATCTCTACTTGCGGTGGTAACTTCCTCTGCTGCTCTTTGCGATTCTTCCACTTCATTGCCGAAGAGCCTTCACTTCCCCTCTCTTTCTGTTCCTTCCCTTTTGTACCCCTTTTCTCATGCATTTCAGTTGTACCAGCAAACATTTTGAAGTCTGGGCGAACCAACGGAAGGATGTAGCGAGGTCCCAACCTGGAGTAACCCGACCAATGGGACACAAGCAAGTGCAGTACGCGGAGTGGTGATCGGCAAACGTACTGGGCTGTCGGGATTTTGCAGATCTGGACGCGATTGCCCAGAACGACCTGGCAGTTCCTAAATTGTTGACTGGGAAGTCGTGGTGCAGTTGGTTTCGTCGCGAGGGTAAGTTGAGAACTTGAGGCAGGAGCAATGGATGGTCGTTATCTCGTATCTGCGACAGCTGCAGCGGCTCCAAGAGATGAAGTGGAAGGAACTTTGGAAATGACGGCACATGACCCTCAAGGTTCGCACTTCAGCCATTGTCGCATCCTTAGACAACGAACCGACAACTTCACCTCAAATGCTTCCGGTCGCCAACGTCAAAGTAGCCGAGCCCAGAAAAGAACTTTGCATACGTCTAATACCCAAGCCACCCGGGGAGGTCCACCGCAAATTAGAATCTAGGGGTTCAGGTACAGATGTCACCTTGGCCTATAAGGCTGTATCAAACGTCTAACGGCGCACTCGCCTCTTCATTAGGTTTCCTTGGCACCACCTTGGCCGTCCATCGCGGCTGACATGGCCAATCATCCGGTTTGTCCACCAACACCCTCTGCGAACCCGGGTAGCGTCTTGGACCTACGCCTCGGCGGGCGCGAATGGAGGCATGTGAGACCCAGGGATGAAAAAGTTCGGGGTAAAGTTTTGTTGAAATGTGAAGGGAGGGAAAGTGATGGGCTGTGTGGCCACACAAGGAGCGTCATTGGCAATTGCGTCTGCTTGATCAATGACCAGCATCGACTCGCAAATCAAATACCCACGGAATTGGCCTACCAGCTTCGGTTAAACAGAGAAAGAACTGCGGGACCGCATCTGTCAACGGTTGGGATGACCCTAGGTTGTGGCTTGCATTCGACATATCTTCCATCAACCTTCCATTCCAGTCGTCGACTTATACCCCACGGTCATCCCGGTCTTTGTCTGTCGAACCGTCCAAACTTTCTTCCCTCCCTTCCTTCTTTGTCGTTCAATGTTTGCGCCTTGACGAGATTCCTCCGGTCTAACCTCGGGACGAACCGCTTTCTTGTTGGTGTGGCTTGTCATCCCAACGGTATCACTCTGGTATCACCTGCGTCCCGCACTCAACCCAACCTTCTCTCAACGACCACACGAGATACACTCTCGTCTCACAACCACCAACCCCACTCGATAGATGGTCACAACCGGCGTGGCCGCCTCAACCAAAACTCCAAGATGCTGATCACCATGCCGAGTCAGCGCAAGCTGTTCACCATCATCCTCGCCATCTGCGCATTCAGTCTCGTCCTGCTGATCGCCCACTGGCCCGCCACCTTCGACAACCTACCCGTCCCTCACGCGCCCAAGCCCTCCCACGGCGGCAAGGTACCCGATCGCGAGCCTGAGAAGCCCAAACCGAAATACAAGTCGCCGCCGAAATACACCCCGCCTCCGATCAAGGACAACTTCCCCCTCTTGTCGTCAGAGGGCAAGAACACCCCGCCCCCGATCCCTTCATGGAACGTCCCCCCGAAGGACCTCTACACGCAATACAACCTGCCGACCCCGCCCCCCTTGCTCATCGGCTTCACGCGCTCCTGGCCCATGCTCCAGCAGACGGTGATCAGCTACCTCACAGCCGGCTGGCCCGCCTCTCAGATCTACGTCGTCGAAAACACAGGCACCCAACAAGCCAACGCGCGCCGGCAGCTAACCCTCCAAAACCCCTTCTACCTCAACCACACAGTCCTGAAAGACATCTTGGGGGTGAACATCATCCAGACGCCCACCCTCCTCAGCTTCGCGCAGCTCCAGAACTTCTACCTCGCTCTGAGCTACGAGCGCCAATGGCCTTACTACTTCTGGTCGCACATGGACGTGCTGGCCTTCTCTTTTGAAGACGGAAACTCAAAAAGCAAAGCAAAGTATAACGAGGAGGGATACAGCTCTCTCTACACCATGGCCCTCAAAACCCTCAAGGACGCGCGCGAAAACGATCCGAGATGGGGAATCCGCTTTTTCGCCTATGATCACCTGGCGCTGGTCAACCCGGTGGCGTACGAGGACGTTGGAGGATGGGATACCTTGATCCCCTACTACATCACCGATTGCGACATGCACTCTCGCTTGACGATGCGCAACTGGTCGATGAAGGACGCGAGGTGGGCGGGCGCCATTTTTGATGTCAGCGTGGCGCTGGATGATCTGAGTGTGTTGTACAGGGTGGATGGGGTGAAGCCGTCTTTCACCGATCCGAATCCGCCGCCGCCTAACTTGAAGAAGGGCGGGATATTCAGGTGGAAGAGGGATGCGGAGGAGGAAGAGATGAAGAGGAACCAGAAGAGGGAAGAGATCGTTGCTGGGTGGTTGGAGGGACGGAGCCCCAGGGGTAGGGCCATTAAGGAGGCTTTGGTGAACAAGAGGGAGGATGAAAAGAAGTCCGAGGAGCAGAAGAGTGAGGAGGAGCACAAGACGGGTGAGTTGGATAAGTGGAGAGCGCTCCAGAAGATTGCCGATGACATGTTCCACTACAAGCATGACGGCAAGCGCGGCCGCAACACGTGGCAGCTAGGTCAGCACGGTGGACAGGGAGAGCCGTTCTACTACAATGCAGCTGGATTAGCTGAGGGCATCGAGCTCATCACCGAGACCGGCAAGGAGGTTTATAGGAAGAAATGGGGACACAGGGACTGCGATTTGATCACGAAGGCCGGACTGAGCTTCGATGATCAGTGGATGGTGGAGAAGGACTGGGGGATGTTTTAAGCACTGGGTATTGTAAAGCAAAGCATAAGGTATAGTGTATTGTGTCATGACTGGGGGGAATCCCCAAAGAAACAGCGTTTAATCGAGTTTGAAGACATGTTCAAAGGAAAAAAAAGTGAGCATGAAGACAGCCAGGGACCGTAGGTTGGCACAAAGCAACTTTCTTTCCCCTATCTACGTGCCGCCCGGGTATCTATCTATCCGCCGCCCTCCATCCATGTGGCTCATCGCGATGCCGCCGCCAGGGCACCCTCGATTACTATTTGATAGAGGTCAGCAGTGCTGATACCCGCGGCGCGCGCCTGCTGCGGCACCATGCTCTCCGGCGTCTGGCCAGGTATCGTGTTGACCTCGAGGAAGTACAGCTGCTTCTGCTCCGGGTTATACCTGTAATCAAAGCGCACTACGCCGCGACAGTCCAGCAAATCGTACAACTGCGCCGACACATCCTTGATGCGATCGCTCACCTCCGTCTCCACCTCGGCAGGCGTCACCTTGCTCGACGACCCGTTGTACTTGGCATTATAGTCAAAGTACTCGCTGTCGCCGTGGGGGATCACCTCAGTAATAGGGAAAACATGCAGCTTGCCCTCCTCCGCATCGCGAATCACGCCGCAGCCGAACTCCCGACCCTCAATGAACGCCTCCACCAACACCTGCCCGTTGCCGTCCTCGCGCATGGCGTCCTCGACCGCCTGGATCACCTGCTCGCGGCTCTTGACCTTGGTGGTGGCCACGCTGCTGCCGCCCGACGCGGGCTTGACGAAGACGGGCAGCTTCTCGAACTCGCGCAGCAGGGCGTCGGCGTCGAAGGACAAGGCGCTGACTTGGTTGGCGTGAAGCAGGCGGGACTTGGCCACCTCCACGATGCCGAAGCTGCGCACTACGGGGTTGCAGTGGCCCTTGTTGGCGGTTAGCGCGGAGGTGTAGAAGCCGCAGCTTGTGTAGGGGAGGCCGAGCATGTCGAAGTAACCCTGTAAAACGCCGTTTTCGCCGGGGTTGCCGTGGATGCTGATGTAGGCTAGGTCGAACTGGATTTTTTGGTTTTGGCCGTTCGACGGGATGCTGACGCTGAAGTCGTTGCGGTCCACTGGGATTTGGGAGTTGTCGTCGGTCAGGTGGTACCAGCCCGCCTTTGGGTCGCGGGGGATGACGATCTTGTAGAGGGCATATTTGGAACGGTCGACGTTGGAGTAGATGGCGTTGCCGGTGCTGATGGATACGTCATACTCGCCGGAGTAGCCGCCTACCACTACGGCGATGTTCTTTCTGGTGTTCGCCATCTTGCTGTAGGTGTCATGTCGTGTCGTCGGGAGGGGAGAATTGGTATAGGATATGGTAGCGCGTCGGCGCGACTCGTGAGAGCATCCACTCTGTCGTCGATCATTCCCGGTATCGGTACTGGGAAGTCACCAAGTTAGCATGCTGGTGGAATGAAGTCCGGGGTTGGGAATGCAAAGATGAGTGGGCAGTGACCAGTTCATCGTGGCTTTGGCTGGATAGTTGTTAGGCTTAGGGGAAATAGTGTTTGACGCCCAAATTCAGTTGACTTATACGACGCCCGAAATGGTAAAATGGAAGGATAAGATGCACTTTCATCTCCGGTCCAGCCATTTTGGTGGTGTTTTTGGTAGTGGGGTATCGCGGGGTACTGTTTGGGGCCTTGGAGTTCTTCGGTTGGTGATTCGAGCGACACGCGTGAGCGGCGTCGCGCCCGTTCGTCATCGGTACACCCTTCAGCAGGTGACTTGTAGAGAAGAGGATGAAAAGGGTTTCATTTGAGGCACATTCCACATGGAACCGTTTTGAGCACTCGAATATGTGATCATTGCAAGGCCTGCATAGAGATTGAGGTCAACGTTGTTGTAGGAGCAAGAATGGAAACCGACGCTGGGCTGGGGGACAGAGGCGACCAATGCACTGCCAAGACTAGGTAGGAGAATGTGCCATCAACTTAGACTATTTTCGGATTCTTCACTACCTCGCCTGAACGTCAAGCTTAAACATCGAACCATCGCCATCAACATCTATCGGCGTTCAATCATCTGCAAGTGAGAGTTTTTGAGTTTTCTCTCCAGCATCATCATTCTTTGCCAGTCTTACACTCTTTGCCCCCTTCCTTTCAATCGGACACACGACTTGCTGCTAGTCGACTTGGTCAGCTATCCCACTATCAGATTTCTTGCACAATCGCGCTGGGTGCTGTTAGTGTCATATCCCATTCACACTTAGACTTCAAGTGGAAAAAGCCGAGAAAATGGGCTGTAGACACTCGAACATACCTTCTTTTATTAACCATCGGAACGCACCAGAAAGGCGTAGGGCAAAGTAGTGATGTCAAAGTCCACTAGAACAGCCCCTTATATACGTTAATGGTTGGGTGGTGTACAAACGTGGTGAGTGTTGAGAGGTCACCTCCTCTTCCCCAAATAGCCTCCATAAAAACCACCCTTGGGTTTGTCTCTTACTGCATCAACGCGTTCACCGCAGGCAACGCATACACAAGCATAAGCCAACGAGACCAGTTCCTCCAACTCGCCTCATCAGCAACCCGATTCCTCTTTGCCAGCAGCCGCCACGCAATATATCCCCCATACACCATGATAGGCACCGCATACCACCCCGGCGTCCTCCAAAACACGGTTCCCACAACCGACCAGACCGGGATTGTCACCGCCAGGTAATAGCGCGTTGCCGTATCGCCGATGAAAAGCGGCAACGTCTTGCGGATCGGCCGCAGCCGGTCACCCTCCTGGTCCTTCATGTCCTGAATGGGGATGGTAGTGGCGATGAGCGTGCCGGTGATGGCCGTCCACGCGTATCCGCTCGGGCTGATGACATCCGCCACCATGTCCGTCTGTGTCTGAGCATGGTACTCTCCCGACCCGAGCGCAATTCGCAGCGACGCGATCTGGAAGACGGCATACGAGATACCAAGCACGACTTCCCGCACAATTGGCTCGTCGCCGCCGCCGAGGTGGTCGTAGACCCAGGCGGCGATGACGACTAGCAATGCTTCGTTCCAGACGCCGAGGGCGTAGCCGAGCGCCATTGTGAGGGGCACCAGGAAGAGGACCAGGCGGCGGCTTTGGTCGGACGTGATCATCCCTGAGGGGATGGGCCGCCATGGCTTGTTGATGCGGTCCTCGGCTACGGAGGTGGGGTCCCGCTGGTTGTCGACGTCGAAGAGGAGGAGGCTGATGAATTGGAACATGGAGCTACCCAGGAGCCGGGATAGGACTTGGTTGAACGTGGGGGGTTCGGGTGCCGTTCTTGCGTCTTTGGCGAGGGAGAGGGCGGCGCCGAAGATGACGCATGGGAGGGAGAAGGTGAAGATGTCGTTTTTGGTAAATGCCCAGACGATAGAGATCACGGCGGATACGTTCCCCTTGAGACTTCCGGCGGGGAGAAGGGGCTGTTGAGTGAGGGATTCGGAGGAACGGGAACCTCTCCCGTCATCATCCGACTTGGGCTTGGGGGTTGAAGTACTTCGGTCCCATGATTCGGTGCCGAACATGGACCAAAGACGTCTTAGAGCCGGAACTGGCTTGTTGTGAAGAGTGGTAGTGGTAGACATGGTTGGCTGCCTCTTGCGGGTTGTCTCTTTAGTCTTCAATCTTGAGGGTATGATGAGGAGCCGCCATGAGTCATGACTGAGGAGAAGGGTTCGACTCACTCTATTTATGCGAAGAGCAAAGAGCTTTCTCTCTCACAAGCTACTCGCCCTTATCTGATTGATAAGCATGAAGGAGGCTGCACTGTCATGGAAGTCTTCAAGCACCAACACCCACCGAGGAACCCCCGTTCTTACTCGTACGACCTCGTCATGCCTTGCACCGCAAAAAATAGTTAACAGCGTCGCTAAATTAAACAGCGTCGCAGCGATAGCAATTGCATCGCGGTGGCGAGCGAGACAGTGCTTTGTTTGATGTCTGGGCTGCTGTCAGGGTGGGGGTAGGAGGTTGATGAAAGGTGTATTGGGAAGTAGGGTGACGGTGGTTAAGCACTTTGATGACGGTGCGAATAGACATCCTGTCAATATATTCGTTCAGGGCACGAATCACTTCCCCTTGTGCTGCGCATTGGATCTCGGGGCAATTGAACCCTGGCAGCCTCAAGTAAACTGCATACGAGGACGGATTCCAGTTGTTTGTACATAACCTGGGTCGATTTCAAATAATTTGTTTGTTTAGTTGAACTCGCAACGGTACGACTCTTCTTTTATTGCGCAGACTGGATTTTATACTTCAAAGACATCCTACCCTGTACGGCCTTCTCCGAGGGATATAGTGGCACGTCCACAATAACATGCAAAGTCCAAATGTCAGAGTCTTGGGTCCTTCCGCGGTACCCGTCATAAAGATATGAGTCTGTTGAACCAGTGTTAATCGGGTCCTTGATGCCTGATTGCGAGCGGTGTATCCTGTACGGGCCTGGGATGTTTGTACAGTTCGATTTGCTTGATACCTGTGGGTCATGAATTGGGACAGCTTCGGACGCCGACATAACCACAGTGCGCATCAGATAATGGCCTGCGAGAAAAGTCCGAGAAAAGGGAAAAGGGAGGGAGGAACAAACGATTAGAGAGCATATATGGTGGGTCGTCACATGAACCAGCCGGGTGGACTCCCTATTGCAGCGATGTATACAAGCCAAATACAATAAACCAAATAACAAAGCAAAGCAACAAAGTAAAGAAAAGTCCCGGGGAAGACGAGTAAAGTTTTCCAGCGTTTGTTTATAAAGCTTTATAAAGATTTTTCTTAAGTTTTTGCTCAATACTAGGGCTAGTTTCGGTGTCAGTTTCGGTCCTCTACCTCAATATTTTCCGAGGATTTCTAACACTCGTACTCGACCCCGGACCACCCTACCGCCCGACGGCTGCCAAGTTATTGGTTTGTAATGTTAATGGTATTTTCGGATATTGGCGTCCATTTCCCCCCTCCTTAAGAACGTGTGAATACCCCGAGGTACGGTATTCTAGCCGAGTCCGGGCTGGAAAAACCGGTTGTTCCGGCTTTGTAAAGATAATAAAGCAAAGCAAATCTCAACGAAGCCAAACAAATATTTCTTTTTTAAGGTAAAGCAAAGCAAATCTTACCCGCCTTTGCTTTGCTTTGCTTTGTATACATCGCTGCCCTATTGTTCTATGTATCTTGGGCGAATTAACGGCAATCATGGTGAATTGAGGAAGAGGCGGAAGAGGGATGGAAAAAGTGCCCACTCGTGAAAATTTGGGTTGTTTGGAGGCACTGTGACAGCTGCGAAGGCAGGCGGAACTGTAACGGTAGGGGACCAAGTCCGATGCTACCTTCTGAACCTGACGTCTAGGGAACCAACGTCGCCATCGCTCTTCCCTTGGTTGTGGTTCCTGTTTCCAGTCCTCAGTCCCCAACTTGAACCTCCCTCATCCTGCGGCCCTGCCTCGTGCCTGCCAATGCCAACACCATGGATCTTGAGTTGCAGGTATGTGTTCGTCGTCAAGTCCAGGCGGCGTTGGCAATCCATTTCCGCGACGGCCACTGATTACTGAATCCAACAGCGAGGTGGGCCGCGGTTACGACACTATCTGGTCTGCACCACTTGAGATACGATTCGATCTTATGGGGGCAGACACACGGACAGAGGTTTCCGACCAATTTTGATAGCACAAAAGGCACCAAAAGTATATCGGGAAGTAATTTCTTCCTTCACCGAGTTTAACTGCGCCATGGTCACTCCTTCTTCCCTGTTTATGAGGCTCCGGGTCTCGCTCCCGTCGGTAAACGTTTGCCACACAATTCCGACCATCTGGCTGTCTAACAACGAAGTGAGACTGTGAGCTAATTCACTAGGTTCCACTTATTCTAAGTTTGCGGCACACAATACCAGCAGCGACGAAGCTTTACATATGACGGAATGGGGGATCCTGGGTAAGGTAATACCGTCTGATCAGTTGCATGTGGTTCCAATGGTTGAGAGCCGCAATGGTGAGACCGGCCTGGACTCCTGAGTCAGGAGTTCTGACCTTCGGGGATATGGCCTACTACCAGGAAGCCTTGCCTGTCTGCCTGAGCACTCAGATTACTTGCGTGCAACCTAGCACACCATGTTTCACTGCCAGAGTCATATGGTCCTCGTTCAACCATTGTCGGCAAGACGCTCGAGTTTATTGGTTCTTAATGTCTAGACCTAATGTAAGAGGCTACCTTTAACCCCGGCATAACGATTCACTGTATTCTACGTCACTGTCCGTTGATCATCAACCCGTATGATCCGGCTTCTACAAAAGGCCCTTCATCATGTCTTCCCAGCGTTGACAACTCAGTCAATCAGATCCTCTTCTCAAACAAGACTTCAACACGCTGCTCCACTCCTAACAGTCTTAGTTCTACCTCGTTTAATCGAAACTTTCTTGCAAACAGAATGCTTATCCAAGCTAGATCACTCTTCGGCCTTATTGGCCTCTTCCTTCTCCAGGTTACATCAGCGCAGACGACGGCTTTTTCAGATGCTTCCTTGAACTATATTGGTGTCGCGCTTGATATTGGCGCCGACGATCAGGGGCATACCACCACTTACTGTGAGCAGACTCGCTTCTTCCCCTCTTCCTTTGGCATTCTCTGTCAAATGGACAAACTGATGGAGGCTGGAAGGCGACAACGAAAATGGCTTGATTGTAGTTGTCTAACGGAAGAGGAGAAACGGAAACCAGGGCAGCCTAAATACCTGGAAGGGAGTGGCGGTAATGGAACGGCCCAGTGAATGGGCAAAGCCGGTGAATGGGCGGCCCAGGGCACGGACTTCCAACACAAACGCTCTCTTCTCAACATGGTCACCCATGCACGAATTCCTGGCAGCCTGGGTAAGGTAACTAACATGATTCCAGATGTGACGAACATCTGTAAGATAGGCAGTACATTCAAGACTTCATCAACCTTTTTTGGATGCTGTGATAGCGATACTTCAAAGCCTTGTTTTGCAACAGCCGTTGTGGACAACACCGTACTCTATGACAATGGTGCAATTGGTACTTCCTGGTATGTTTGGCCCTAAATTGTGCTTCGGTGCCCCCCGATGTCATATCCGCCTTTTCTTCAGAACAGACGTACACTACATATCATTTTTCCGTTCATGGACTAATACATTCATCCTCCCGCAGTGATTCGGCCTTCACCCCTGTGATGGATACCCTCTACGAATCCTATCCCGCCGGAGGAAAGAGCTGGCACGGAGTCGACTGTGTACCAGCAACCATGACGGGGTTGGATTACACCCCAGCAGGCGCTGTGGTATATCGGACCATTGATTCCATGCCCGCGGGAGCTACCTCTACTGGCGGATCTACCCACAAGTCCGGCGCAGGCTCCTCTGTTTCCGAAGCCTTGGCAGCCGGTTATATTTTTGGGCCCCTCGCGGGTCTTGTGGCTCTCGGAGCCTTGGCTATTCTGTGAAGTCAATGAAAGGAAAGGTTGGCAGATCATAAGAAAGCAGTAGGAGGCGAGCTGGAGTTATCGTTTGATGGCAACATGAGCGCTATGGAATATTCCTAGTTCCCTGACTCTGTGAAGGCGTTTTTTTTTGAAAATCTTCAAGAGCTATACCCGCATCATCTCTCTTTGTGAGAGCATAATTGGCAGTCAGTGAAGAGCTATGAGATCGTGAGCAATGATGACGCTCACTTTCCATGTTACAAAAAGAAGAATCCACATGTAGATCAAAATCTAGCGTCCAATACCACAATAACTTGAGCAATATGTTCTTGTTCTTTGATCATGACGATACAATTAACGAGTGTCCAGTCCTCTGTATGTCTGATTTCTTCCTTCCCTCTTCTGGCGAACGAATGGGATCTTGGCCAATCAGAACGCTCGATCCAATCACGGCACCACTTACACGCTGAAAGCGCTAATGGGTCGCTAAAAGTTTAGGGAGCCTGAGCGCTAATTACGACATCACAACCACCAAAGTCCAGGCACCTACTTCCTCTGCAGTCAGGGCATGTGAGGCAAGAACGCCAGTGTTGTTTCACCGCTACCATGATTTCGCCTTTGGAAATTGAAAGCGCTTGGGGAGCTGCGGTTCGTGATTACTCCTTTCCTTATCAGCTGTCCTGGCGATGACAAGACGAGGGCTCACATCTGCGACCCGGGACGTTCTTGTCCCCGTTCGCGACTTCCCTAACCACCCTAACCTCCATCAGAACTGCCTGGAACCCCGTCCTCTCCACCCCCTCCCCTTTCCCTTCCTCTTCCACTTCCAACTCTCCCCCCTGACCGCCTCGGCGTTGGCATCGGCAGGATCATCGGCACCGGCGACACCACCACCCCCTCCGGCCCTAACCTCCCCGGCATCCTCTCACCACTCCTCTGCCCAACCCCATTCCCAGCCCCATCACCACCAACACCCTCCTCCCTCTCCCTCACACGACCAACCTCAAACCCCTTCACCTCCCTATATTCCTTATAATAGCAATACACACTCTCCCACCACTCATCAAACTCCTCATCACTAATAATCCCCTCATCCCTCATCCCCTCCGCCAGCACGATCTTCACAAAGTCCTGCCCGTCTTTGACGATTCCGTCCTCTGCTTCTATACTTTTTCCCGTCAAGAAGTGATGGACCAAGTTATCCCTCACCCAGAACCATAGTTTGTCGTCGAGATGACAGAGAAGGTGGAAACTAGCCTGCCATTGGTCGCGGATTATTTGCGTCGTGACAGCGCCCAGGAACGGGGGCTGGGAGGAGGGGAGGAGGACGTTGAGAGTTGATAGGGGGCGGTCATCGTTAATGGGGCGGTGGACGGCGAAGGATGTGAGCGGTTGCGCGGGCTGGGAGGAGGTCTGGTCAGTTTGTACAGGAATGCACTCGTAGATGATCCATTGGTGGTCGGGGTGGAAGGGGTTGTGGAGGTCGGGGGTGTGGCCGTCCGAAGTGTGGGAGGAGATGCCGAAGTACCAGCGGGATTGTTTGGTGCTGTGAGGGGGACGTTCGGTGAAGGTGAAGAGGGCGCGGTCGCCGGGGTAGAGGAGCTCGGAGGGGTGCATGGCGGACTGGACATGGTAGGTTGATGTTGCTGATGGGGATTTGTTGGGGTTGGTAAGAACTAAAAAGGGGATTTAGTCTAGAGTTTTGATGTTTTGCTGGTTTGTTGCCCAAATAAAGTCTTGGTGTTTGAGCTTTTGGCATGTTGATGACATACTAGGGGGGGGCAGCTTTTATACATCAACCTCGGGACTTTTCGCCCATATTGTTCATTATTCAGATATGATAGCCAGCATGCTACCCTGTTTGTCATATTTGAGAATGAGAAACGTTGAGAGGGTGAATGGTGATCCGAACCGGGTGCCAGATTTCAGTTCAATTTCATCCTCTTTGCGTACGGTAGGAGACGTGAATAGAGGTGTTGAACTGAAGGACTTATTGTGCTTTCACGATGTCGACTATAAGGGTGCGTTGTACTACATGAGAAAGATGCAATGGTGAATGTGATTGCCGGTCCTTGAAAGCCTCAAAGCTCACTTCCAGTGTAACGGAAGTGCGATTTTAAGCCGGAAACATCGGTGCGTACGGAGGTCCGGACCCCATTCCGGCCCCACCCGACCCCGGAGGGGGGCCGAGTTCAAAGCCCGGTCTTGTTCCTGAAGTCCGCGTCGCTGGAATGTCTCGTTCAGAGATGTCGCTATCGTCACCGGCCCAACTGTGCCAAATCCGGGCAAGTGTTGCCACGTCAGAGGTGTGGGGCAATCGGTGTAAGTGCCCCTTGTAGCGGTTCATTTCTTCTTCTTTTCCTCTCTCAACCCCCTGCCCTCGTTTATGTTTCACGCTTCTCTTCTCTTGTGCTGGTGTTCCATATTCTACTAGCTAGTGGTGGATAGCTTGAGCAGATCCGGGTCGATAGAACCCAGGAACTGGTGCGAATAGCACAGTGTAACGAGGTGGCCACGGTGATGAATGCGTGCACCACTCTTGATCGCTACCGTAACCTGCTGATTTTGACCTAGATCAAGACATGAGTAGGACGTAGGTATCTCATGGGATGGTTCTCTGGGGATCGAATCCTTTGACCCTTTAAGCGTGGCTGCGGGGAGACCGCGGCTTTGCTGGTTCTTGGTTGACAAACTTTCGCCGGCGTTCTTCCGGAAGTCTCATTAGTCTTGAGCATTCTTGCCGAATATACACTCGAGCTTCTCCTCATCCTCACACTTCACAAAGCTTACCGTCGATCATGGCAAATGGGCTTTCCCATCTCCAACTTGTTTTTTTGCTTGCCTCGATTTGCCCGGGCTCAGGGACAGCAAGGTGGCGCCTTTATTAGTATTGATGAGTTCCAGTTTCCCAGGCTCCTTGCAAATGGCTCTGTTCCTCTCTATTACGACCTGGATACCTTGCTCGTGAGGTATATAAGCCGAATCTCTGGGCCGAGTAGGAACATCGCCCTCAAATGTGTCGCCAGGAGTGAAACAGAGGTCGCCAATGATCTGTTTCCCGATGTTGATGGCGACGCGTTAACCGGTATGTGGCTATTAAATATATGTTTACCTGAGGTTAGTTAGCTGACACTTCATGTTGTTGAACTATCATCAGTCGCTTCAAAGGATAACCTACCTTCCTACTCTGGAACGGTTCCCTTTCAACTTCCATCGCTTCCGCAAATGCAAGTGGGGACTGGCGGTCCATCCTGTGCCTTTATTCTCAGTGGGTATCATGACGATCCCAAGAATGGAAACGTCGTGAACCTTCAGAGCGATAAATTCCAGATCAGCTTCACCCGCGCGCGAGGCCACTATCTGAAGACATATGGAATTGAAGGAGAGGTACCCAACGGGGATTATCCGATCATAACTGGAACCGGGACCTATGGAGCTCTTCCCACGGCAACTACCAGTACGAGAACTTCGTTGTCTACATTAACCTCGACAACGACAACGGAAGCGATATCCACCAGTAATGAGGCTGGCTCGACAACTTCATGAAGCTTAAACACAACATCGTTGGTGTCAGCCACGACTTCGTCGACGGCACCGGGTTTTTCGTCAACGGCACCGGGTTTTTCGTCAACGGCAACCGCATCTTCTTCGGCACTAACCGCGACATCATCAGCATCAACGGCTTCTACATTGAGCACAACTACCTCCCCTAGTGCTTCAACGTCGGATGCCAATGCAACAGACGGAGGGTTGCCGCAGCCGACGGGGGCCACAGAGGAAACAAGTGCAAGGAAAGGAGGAGGACTCAGCAATGCCGCATCAGCTGGAATAGGCGCCGGCGTTGCCGTGGGAGCTATTGCCCTCTTAGGGCTGGGATTTTTCTTTTGGAGGAAAAGGCGGCAAAATGGCAAGGATTCCGTCGGTAGCAGTTCCACGCCGGAGAATAATCGAAGAGAGGCTGTAGCAGAGTTGCATGGAAAACATATGAGCGAACTCAGCGGCACGGATTATGCCAGGCGCCCGCCGCAGCGCCAGGGGCTAGGTGTACAGAGGGCAGAGTTGGGAGGAGGACAGCAGCAAAGGGTTGAGCTTCCATGACGTTCATCTGAGGCGCGGAAGAGGAAGACTGCATGGGGACCATGTGAAGGAACTCGGCGGGACGCACAATTGTCCGCCACATGAGATAGGGCCAGGTGTGGAGAGGGCCGAGTTGGGGGTAGACGGGGCGCAGCAGAGGTTTGAGCTTCCATCATGGTGGTTTGGTTGAAATGGAAGAATGGAACGAAAACGAGAATGGGAGTGAACATAAAGTTCATGAGCTTATGTGCATGACCCATGTGGGGGACGATATCCAGCGTAGAAGGCTGAACCCGTGATCTGCTTCAAGCCATCAACAAGTTTCGAGATACATTCGTGAACATTCAACTCAAGAATTGATGTTTTCTGGGTCGCTGAAGGAAGAAGACGGAACTTTTCTAATGGTGTGCGCAAGTGACTGCATGTGGGTCCAAAAAAGAACAAGCGATGAAGGAGTTGTCGGGCGTTCAAGGCCATCACAATTGATTGGTCCCCAAAAAGTTGGGGTTCTGGAGAAGAATCGAGGTCTAAGTCAGAGAACTGTCATTATACCCCACCCCGGTCGTCGCCCACCACAAAAGGTGCGGTAGTGTTGCGTCTGCGGGAAAGAAAACCCCGCTTCGGGGCCGTGTGGCGCCGAGCAGGCCCGGAGTGGGGCCGGTCGCCGTAAGTGAATGTCCCGGATCGCGCTTCGTCTTAGAAGCTCAGATAAAGGAATAAGAGAAATCGAGCAGACCTTGCAGATACCGCATATTTTATACAACGTTCTCGAACCCATATGGGATCCGTGTTTGTGTCGATAGCGTCGCCACTGTGAAAGCAATAAAACGTAGAGGTTATGTAGGTGAGACGGCCGGCCGGCTCGCATGCAAAGTCGGCATGAAGGGGCAATACCTACATACCTCTTACATACTACAACCATAAGCGCGTAGTCAAGGCTGTACTGGACGATCGTGTGATTTCGATGATGACTGAATAGTTGTGGTATGGTTTGTTATAGTTCATGGTTGGAATTTCTGTTGTCCCACACGCGAGCAAACGAAAGGTGAAAATGATCTGATGTCACTACCTGAACAGAAAACGTGTAGTGCTGGAGTTACACAGGGGCATGTTGGCCTCGTTGTGGAGCATTTTGACTACATTTTCTGTAGCGGGTCTGCCCGCACTGACCGTCGCCGTAGCACGTTTCCACGGAGCCCCGCGTGTCGTTTCCCCTCCTCTTTTTCCCAACGACAACAGAAATAACATTCAGTGCGACTCGCCTCATTTCAATTGCGTGACAATTCACGCCATTGCATCGCCGCGCCGTACAAACGCCTGGAAATGCAGTGATCACGCTACGCCATCGTCAGGAGACAGGCAAACACACTCGGTTGGTTCCTCCCCCTCCGATCGGCTTTCTTCCAAACAAAAAGGGTATGTTGTTGCTCGCTAATTTTTGAAACGAATGCCAGTTACAAGCCAGAAAACGCCCTCGACACGCTGTCCTCCGTGACCTCCAGATGATTACCCTCGACGTCTCGTCCGAACCACCTAAAATACCTGACCTCATGTGTACGGTGACGACACCAAACTCGCTACCGCACCCAACGGTCTCGTGTACGACGTGGGCTTCACCAAGTACTTCTTCAAGAAACAGTTCCCATAATCCTTCTCCATAGACAGCGGCAAATCCCCGTCGAAAGACACCCCGACGCACGTATCGTTCTTCGTTATTCGGTTCGTCTGTGCACACGAATGGAGACAGTCCTCGAACGAATAAGCTATTAAACCGGCGACGTCGATCCCACTTCCCCAGAAGTCCTGATTGCAGCTCACGCCGAACCCCCAGCTCAGCGAATCCAACGTTATAATCTGGCGGCCACTGGAGGCGACGGCTGCGCAGTCGAACGCGAGAACGCCCTCGGTCGGGACCGTGATAATGGAGGCTGTTGTGGTGGAGGGGGCTGTCGTCGTGCTCGAGGGAAGCGTCGTACTTGTCAGTTGATCAAATACTGTTGTAGAGGCGGAAATCGATGGCCTTGACGCGGAGCTGGTTCTCGACAGTCAGCTACAGTCGGAGAAAATACTTGGCGACTCGAATAGCCCGGCCTACCTCTTCGCGTTCTTGACCGCTATCGATCCACCCACACCACCTCCGACGGCCGCGATCACCATCACAGCCAGAAGCGCCACTGTCAAGAAAAACGTGGACCTCCGTAGGCCGCATATCCTCCTCTTTGGGGTGGCCTTTTCCAGGCCCGGCGAAGATGCGCCTGATCGTGGGAGGAAGTGTCCACGTTGTTCCTGATCTTGCTGCCCGGAGGAATACGGTTGCACCAGGGGGCTGTATTGCGGATAAGTTGATGTCGCTATTGTCGAGGCCGGCTCCTTGGGTACCCGTTGCCCAGGAAGAACAGCTTCTGGCGCATCTCTGCTGTTCACTACGTGTAGGCCATCGTCCCACTGAGTGCGGCTCATGATCCCGGTTGCAGTTGTACTGGCAAAAAGCCGACGATTGGTCACGGGAGGCAATCGTGCTTCCGAGACAGTGAAGAGTATCGACAGAAAAGGAGAAGGAAAAGACGAAGGCCTGATCGAAAACCAACGCCCATGATACGGCTTATTCTCCTGCCTGGGGCTTGGCAGTGGTGACACTGCAGGTCCTGTTTTTACGGCTGGCTGTCGAGCTGAGTTCCTGGAGTCCGATGTGTCCAATCAGCACCGCGCCACCGCCTTCAAGTCGGAACGTAGGATATAAAAAGAGATCGCCGCAACGGATTTGGATGCTCAGGGGCACTCTACGCCTTGTCAACGATCCAGTCTATCTGTAGGGCTGACCCACCCGAAGCAGGGTTCGGTCCGTCATTGTTGCCGCTCCCCTTCATTCCAGTGCGGCTCGCTATCCAGAACAACAACCTGTGGTCGTATAAATCTTCCATTGCTGTCTTCTGCTAACCGCCAGGTATCTATGCTACACAATCCTCACGCTCATAGTCCTTCAGAATTCGCCAAGCCATCGCTGTCGTAAAACCCCGGCTACCGATATCAGCACCCGTTCTTCCTGCCCTGCAGAAGTAACCCGCCGGCCATCCTCCATCTTCCTCTTGAAGGACAAGCAGCTCGTCCATCTCCCATTTTAGGAGGTCTCTGTCGATGCCAAATACCTGACAAGCGCGCACCCGCATCGTCAAAGCCAACGGGTTAGCAGGCTTCCCCAATGACTGCACCAGCGAGCGATAGATATGCCTGTTGAGCGTCTGACACACATTGGCGTTCTTGGTCGGGTTCTGTTCGGCCTTTGCCCTGAGCTCGGCGTAGAACAAGCTGACGAAGTAAAGGAAGCTTTCAGTCGTCGTGTAATGGCGTGTGCCGTTCATCACTGCATTGTTGACCAGGCAGTTGACAACAAAGTTCCGTGTGGCAGCAAGGCGGGGATCTGTGTCCAGATCCAGATCATCGCCTCCATACTTCAGGAAGAACCGAAGCATGTTCACGCTGACAATGGCACAGATGCGTGGCCTGTCATATGTGAAATACACCTGCATGATCCCATCGGCGTTCACGTTGGAGGCCATAGCATCCAGAACAAGCTTGGGATCGGCAACTCGGTGCAGGTGCTCTTGCGGAAGGGTCATGTAGGCGATCGAGGTGGTGTCGGCGTTGGCTGGGAATGTCTCGGTGGTCCCAACTGGCTTCTCGGTGAAGTAGTTCCACAGGCCGTCCTGAAGAGGGCGTGACTTCTTGCCGTCTCTGGCCTTGTCGTTGAGAACAACAGCTGAGTCGGTTGAGCTGGCCACGGAGGCATTGTCATCTGGAGATGAGCATCGTGATGTTCCCTTCCAGCGCGTTCCGTCCGGCCACAAAAGGTAAATGATATCTTCCATATCAGTCAATCCCCATATCAACAATTGGGCAAAGTTGTCCTTGAAAATCACCCCCTTCTCGGAGTAGATTGAATCCAGCTTTCCGCTCTCGGAGTGCAAGAAGGCTTCTGCAAGTGCTATGGGGTCTCCCAGGACCACGTTCCTGAGGAATCGATATATCCTTCCTTCCTTGGTCCTCTCGTTCTCCGTTACAACCTCACCCCGGATGCCAAAAGATCTAGCAGCGACGATGTTTTCGGTACGGTCGTCAAGGAAGATGGTACGGCTAGGATCGCATCCAGTCTCGTTGATGACGTACTGGTAGAAGCAGAGGTCCGGTTTGCGCATACCGGCGGCGGCGGAGGTGAAGACGCGAGTGAATGCTTCCCATGGGAACGGCAACGTCCGTATGTACTCGAAGTGTTCCTTGGAAATGTTTGACATGGCATACACCTTCAGCCCAGGCTTCGCAGCAAGCTTTTCCACCAGCTCGGCCCACTGCTCGTTCACTCGCAAGGAGCAGGCTGCTGCATCAATGGCCTGCCGTACCAGCGACGCCTCGATGTTGAGCTCCTCACCCATGATCTACTCGACGTTGGTTAGTCTCGAGGCACGAAGGCTGTGGAAGCGAGGAACCTGCTTACCTTGTAGGCCTCCTCTGCAGGTAGGAGACCGCGGTCGAGGTCGTACCAAGTGGTTGAGTTCATCATCTCTCTCATAGCACCTTTTGGGAGCGCGGCAAGGGATGCAACGTTCTTTGGCTCATCCCAGTCGAAGAGCACATCTCCGAGGTCGAAAATGATGGTGTCATATGTTGTAGTAGCCATTGTTGGTGTTTGAGGGTTCGCTGTCCTTGGGGCATGAGGAATCAAGGTATCCAGTGCAGGAGGCATGGCTGGTTTGCTCTTTATACTTCATGGCATCTCCAACATCTTCCCCTCCAGCAAATCTTGCTGTGCGCTTAATGATAGCCCATGGCATGGCATCACCACGGACCCGCCATATCACTGCATCCGTCGGGCCCGACTTACTAACCCTTGGTGATGTTGCTCGTTCGTCAACCATCCACATTATCATGTCTTGACCGGGGACTACTGAGGCCGCACAGACGATCACAGCCCTTGGTGGCATTGCCTAGCTACATCTTCAAAGTTGAAGTTCATGATGAGATAAGGTAGCGGGGCCGCAGTAGCGCGGCGTCTTGCAGGGAGCTTACCAGGGGGAGCTTACCAAATTGAGCCCCCTAGGAAGGCGAAGTCGCCAAGAAGGACAAATTCAACGGTTGTGCTCTCGCCTTATGGCTAACGGTCACTTACTAACGGCCAATGGCGCTTACTAGCGGACCGCTCGTTGATGATGGTCGTTGGCGGTGTCAAGGCTCGGAGTTTTTGTCGTTGTCCAAACTTACTCCACGGTGCACAAAGACCCCTGGATGGCCAACTGCAGGTCATTGTTAGCGATTGCTAGCGTCCATTCCGCTGGGAAGGACGCCAATCAGGTGCGCGGCGCAGCCCAGGCACGCCATCGATTGCATTTGATAACTCGATGATAACTCCATGCAGGGCCTATCGTTTACTTTGATGTCACATTTCAATTTCATGAGCACTGGGCGCTATGTTGGGGGCTTTCAATTGAGGTCGGTCCGCTCCGCTGTATGAGTGATGGCTTGAGTCCTTGACTGGTTGTCCCGGTCCGTCTCGTCAGATTTACTTCCTGCTTGTGGTGACAAGTTTGTGCTACCAGAGTCTGGCCCTACGGACTACTCAAGCGCGGGAAGCCGCTGCGTTCTAAGCCGCTGCGTTCTACCATTATGTGAGCACTAACAGCTGGCCTCACTGGATGAGTGAGCTACCTTGCAGCATACTGCACAGTGAGCACACAGCCTCTGGAGATCACCCTCACTGGCCTCACAAGGAAGAGATATCCTGATATCCTGATGTCGTGGATCAGTTCACACGAGGAAGCTGTGGGATTGGGACCCTCTAGCCCCGTCGTAGAAATCACATGCCGACATCAGAGAAGGACAGCCAGTCGCCCATTCGGGCTTCAAAAGGTCGCAACGGTCGCGATACCTCCAACGTCTGGACATTGGAGCGCAAGAAGTGACAACTCCCGTCGTTATCTTGAAGTCGTTTATACATGCCCATTAAGGTTTAGCGGCAATAGCGGGAACAACCGCCTGCCACATCCCGGTCGAACGGCATCGGGCGGGCTCCTATATGACGGGACGAGTGACGACACACCATAGCACGCACTCTCTCAGTGCATGATAAGATAGTTTAGGGGTACCGCTTTTTCTCACTCGAAGTTGTGGTTTCACTCAAACAGGTATAAGGCCGGGACTATCTGACGCAACACAAAATCTTGCCCTCGCCATCCTAGGTCCTCCACACTCACACATGCCCAATGTGTGCAACGAACCTAAGTCCCTCCGAACTATCACCAGAGCAGCCTCTTAAGGGGTACCTCAGCCTTTGTTGAACATCAATCGGGCGTGTGGCTCAGTTGGTAGAGCGTTCGCTTAGCATGTTTCCGAGCATGCGAAAGGTCCTGGGTTCGATTCCCAGCTCGTCCAAAGTTCAACACTCTTTTTTTTCTTTTTTCTGTTCCTGACTCGCGTCACAATTGCTTTCTTTTTGCGTTTTATCGGACACATATTGTGTTCCAAATGAACTTTCTATAGATCATTTTGCATCGGAAACGGTTATGGGAGAAAACTTAAGGAGTGAGTGACTAACAATTTGCAGATACAATCCACGCGAAAATGAAGATGTAAGCCAAATGATAACAATCAACGACGCTGAAGTGTTGTACCTACCTAATTACTATACACCAATAAAGCGAAGCTTGTCGATATGTTTTGTTTCTAGCGCTGCAGCAGCCCACTTCGAAAATCCTTCATAGTTCCTCTTCGCTTTCTCAAAAAGATCCCGCCTCATCATATCCAAGCACCTCCTTTGATGCACCTCCAGCTCGGGCGGCTCCTTCGCCTCGTTCTCGTTCATATGACCAAAGAAACCTTTCGTGAATTCCCATTCCCTCTCCAGATACCGTTTCATCGACATCCTCGTGCCATAAACTTCCATCGCTCTGACAGAATCAGCATCCATCAACGCCACCGCCTTCAGTGCCTTCCTCAAGAGGTCATCCACGTTCTCCGGATTACACAGCTCTTGTGCCATGGGATGGCACACTGCGTTTCTCACGTCCGTGGCTTGTACGAGAGCGTCGTGTAACTCACTTGGCCAGATTCCTGGGGAGACCAGATGGGGATAATCCAGCAGACGCTTGATGATGGCGCCAGAAGGCTTGGTGGTATTCATCTTTTCGCCGTCTGGATTGTTTAGGTAGTCGCCCATTTTCTCCTTCGTCCATTGGATAAGAGAGGGGCCGTCAGGAAAGCCGATGCTGTTTTGAAAACCCCAGAGAGATTGGAATCTGTATTCCACGAGGCCGGGGAAGTGAATTTTGCAAAAGTCGAAGAATGACTGTTGGGCGAGAGACAGAGCGCGCTTAAGGTACTTAAGGCTCTGTTCAGCGGGGAGTAGCATGTTGAAAATTGGAGATTCGGCCGGGAAGAAGATATCCTTGCGTAGGGGGTAGTTGAGGTTGTATCTGTCCGGGAGACTGGTTAATGTAGGAGCGGTTGTCCATGACTGAGAGCTTATTGACGATGCCAAGGTTGTCTTTGAGTCCGGTGATCCGAAAAGGGACGTGTTTGGGGTGACCGGCCAAATGCTGGCGCCGCCATCGGATTCATCTTCGGAGTCCAGGTAACTGGCTGCGGTGATGTAACTATCCCTTGTTGTGGTTGTGCTAGTGCTAGAAGATCTAGGCCGTCTCGAGAGGATATCGCCAGATTGCAGACCGCCAATGCTCGGGATCTCAGGTTCGGGCACCTTCCTGTTGTCAACAAATATAGGCTCGGTCGGTTCCCAATGACTTGAGTTAGAGTTGTAATCCTGCAGGATAGAATAGATGTTCTCTGGAGTGTTGGTATGGGCAACGTAGACGTCCAGGCTGCCATTCTGAAAGGGAGGTGGTGAAATGCTTTGGTTTGCTTGCAAGCATCCAGGAGGGAAAATGTTCGTCGTCGAAAGCTGGGCCGAGGACCGGGCTATCAAGAGATCGACTATAGTCACCATCCCCAACGAAGGAGGGTGCTTGGGACGCTACATATGTCTTTGATGATGCCTGAGAGACCTGGGACTCAGAACACGAGTTCTGAGTTGAAGGATGGCTGCCGAGTTTGATGGTGTCGAGATCTTGGATTTTCGACTTGTGTTTGGTCTTGAGCCAAGCGAACTTCTTCCGAAGGGATTGCTTCCAATTGATACTGTGATGCGTCATGCTTGAGATAGCGACAGAAGGTGTGTTAAGGAATGGGCGGATGCAAAAAAGGGGACGGGAGGACGAGTACGGTTCGGAGTGGTGTGACTACGGACCGTACGCTGGTGGTGTTGTGAGAAGAGGAAGTTCTGTCGTGAGTCAGACACGACTGGAGTCCGACTGTCCGAGGTCAAACACCTGGGCAGGGCAATGGTTCGAGCATCTCCGTCTCCGTGTGGGAAGGACCGTCGGGGCGGAAAGCGGAAGTGACCAACTGGTGGGAATCTTTGGAAACGGCAAGAACCATGAGCTGCGAGGAAGGTGAAGGCCGAAACCGGGCGGAACTACACATTGGGATCCAAACCACTGGCTCATGCCTTCCAATTCTCACACGAGCGAAAAAACCGCTACTGCCTACTGTCGAGGATATCTTATCCCAGCACCCGAAGCCCGAACATGCTGAACGATTGACCTTCACAGTTTGAGTGTCGTGAGTGGACGTGGAGGTTGTATCAGAAATACAGTCCGATACTGGTTTGTTTGTGAGCTCGAGACCCCTGGTCAACTTGTCCAGGCGTTTCAACAACAAGTTGATATGTTTTCTTCGATAATGGGGGTCTTCGATAATGGGGGTTTAAAATTAGCATATGTCAAATCAGATACTGATAATCTTTTTTAACTATAATTTATACATTTTAAAGTACCATTGCGGCGTTCAGGATGGGTTGGCATATGTCTTACTCGGGGTATAGAGTTAACAAAAAAACCAGCATTGGACTGTAGAACCCATTTAAACCCGAACTTACGTCCCAAAACTACTATCCAAGAACTGAGACAGATCCTGTCACCCAGCCAATACACCGCAACACAACCTCTAGTGTACCGCCCTCGGCTCCCCCCTCCCCCTTCCCCTCTCCTGCAACCTCCCCACCTCCAAAAGCAACCGATACAAATAAACACCCATATCCCTTTCCCTCAGCGCCCTCCCCCACCACTCCCTCCCCCTCTCCGCCACCTCCCTTGCCTTCTTTCTGCCCTCCTCCGAACTAGTCAAATACATCACCAACTCAGGTACTTCCTCCATGCCCATACTCACCGGGAAATAATGCACCCAGGGAACCAGCCGATCATCATGCCACTCCCTCAGCAAAGTCTGCTTGAGCACCGCGCTGTTAGACGCCAAAAGCTTGTAGTACCGCCCCGAAATGCCGTTGCCGTCTAGGTCAAAAACCAAGCGTGACCCAAAAGCTTCGTCTTTGTCGGCGTAGGATTTTGTGCGGAAGAAGGAGCGTTGGGCGCGGCAGGTGGAGGGGGAGCAGAACTGGAAGCGGGTGAAGAAGACGGAGAAGAGGCGGCTGTTGAGGAAGGGGGAGGTAAAGCGGGTTATGACGCCGTTGAGTGAGCGGAGGTAGGTATGCGGTTGGTGGTTGAGGTTTTGGGCGAGGGAGACGAAACGTTGGCGGTGGAACGACTTCCATTGTTCTGAAGAGGAGGAGGAGGAGGAGGAGGAGGCGTATCCGCCGGTTGTTGAGCCGGCCCAGTAGAGGTTGTTGGACTTTTGCTCCCAGGGGATGTCACGGGTCGGATCGTAGACGAAGCCGGACTCGATGTAGGCGGCGGAGGGGTAGAGGATGTCGGACATGGTGGACGGTGCGCCGGTAGAGAGGACAGGAACGAGCCCAGTCACCAGGCGCAGGGAGACCGGGGAGATGAAGAGGCCGTACGTGCTGGCGTAGGAAGGGTTGGCGCAGATGTCGAGGGAGGAAGCGGCGGATGTAACGAAGGGGAGACCGAATGTGTCAATGTTGTCGGTGGTGTCATTGAGCTTGGATGAAGAAGAGGAACAGAGAGCTGTTAGTTCCTTCCAAACCGACTTTTGAGACATATCGGCAAGAGCAAAGCGCGTGCCGGTGGGGTATTTGTCAGGTGGAACGACCACCCGCGGCTCGTCAAGGTGATTGACAACGAACTTGACGTCAGGAAGGACCCCCGTCTGATCACCCAACACCTTGTCAAACAGAAGAGTAAGATGTCTGTCGAAGCTGCGGTACCGATGCCGACACTCGGTCTTTGCAGTGTCACCGTGAAAGGTGCACTGCCACAACTCGCTGTGAGGCGTGTTATAGGCATTGTTCATCACATCCAGCACCTCTTGGCCGCTGAGTTTCCAGAACGGCGACACTGACTGGTAGATGGTGTCAAAGTCATCGATGATTGGGGACTGGTTCTTGACGGCGAAGTCGTACCAGCCCCGGAAACCCGGTGGTGGATCAACCTTGTATCGACGCTTGTACTCTTCGACAGCCTCTTCACAGGTCTTTGACCGTCTGGATAACATGCTGTCAAAGTCTGCTTTTGCCTTGTCCATTAGCTGTGCTACCGGGTGTTGGCCGGGGTGCCGAAGAGCCAGTTGCTGTGCTGTAGACTCTGCAGCTCTGATGGCGACCATGTTGGCTAGGTATGGCATGAGGGGAACAAGAACAAAGGCCCAGAGAAGGGCTCGCTGCTTTGTGTGCTTCGGCAGCATGTAGATGGTTTGAGCCAGTGAAAGAAGGGAAGCAACAACGTTCGCAAGGGCTTGAGTGTCTGAAGGTTCTGCGAACGGGTTTCTGGTTGCAACCAAGCCAAACGTGGCTATTACCGTTACGATTCGCCATGACTCCGGTGTTTGTCTTGTCTGTGAAAGATGTCAGTGTCAGTCGTCTCTTCAAGCAAGTCACCAAGGCGTTAGTAAGGACTGAACGTACAGTTTGAACAGCGAAATACAACGAAAAAGCCTTCGCTAACCCCAGAAAGACAGTCAAGACACCATCGATTCTGGGGAAACCAAACGCCCATATGTCGAAAAACTGCAAGATGATCAAGAGGCCCACGATCCGCAAGGAGAGAGGCCTGATGGCATCTTCCAACTCAAGATGGAAGGTATTCAAGCGCCCTCGCTCTCCTGCTAAGGGCATAAACGACACGAAGAAGAGGACGACGAGAGCCACGAACGGTATCACGGCTATAGTAGCTGCCTTGACGTCCCATGCTGACAAGGGGTACACGGCAACCGCCGCAGCCAGAAGTGACCCCCAGAACGTATTAATGATCGAGTGAGGTAAGGCTCCTTCTGTAGTAGTCTCATACCTCGAAGCGCCAGTCCGTAATTGGAGATGTTCTTGAGCCTTGAACAGTACCGGTGTTGCAAGTGGCTATTGAAGATGTGGTGTGAGCAGATGGCGGGAGACAAGTATCGACCAGGAGGGCTTACAAACAAACAGACAACCGCACCGAACTCTGTTTTACAGAGACTGAGGGCAGAAATACACGCCGCAGGGCCCCAAAGATGTAGCGATCCAGTCGGCTTTTTGGTAGAGGTCACATCCCCTAACGGTGATACATATGTCGAGGGCTTTGCTTGTGGCCTAAAGAGGAATGGAAATATCATCCAACACACGGCTTCCGAGGAGAGTTCAGACTCTGTAGCTCTAGCAGCGAGGTACTGAACCAAAGATGTGCAAGCTACAGCGGCTGCTACCGTCAGGGCAGCTGGATCGAGCTGGGCACTGGTACGGGTGATCATGGCTGTGGGATGCCTGTGCTCATGTGCGAGTGGTCCAGTATGAAATATACGTTGGTGATATGCAACAGGTAGGGGAAGTAATACATACTAATGAACATGACGAGGTCGAATATGCGAATAGGAGACAGATAGAGAGTCATCTTGGAATCTGAACGTCGACGCTGACCAGCAAAGGACAGCAAGACGATCATGTACTGAACTTGAAATGCCGAGCGTTGGCATACCCCTTACCAAGTAGCACAGCCTGCATTCCAAGGTGTGATGTGGGGGTAGTACCCCTTTCGTGCCGGGACGGTGGCATTGGCATTACCTATGGCCGCCATTCCAATTGGCTGACATTCCTTGTCCTCCCCAGTTTTGCTGCCAATGCTGCATTGCTGCTTGGCTTTGCCGCAACGTCACTCTCGCTTTCTTACAGTAAAAACGACACTGCGGACGGCACATCAGAGGCTTCTCGTTTAACCCTTGGACATGTCAGCTTCATTTCGTCAGTTGATTGGATTCAGAAACGGAGTGGTACAAGTGAAGAAAGTCGCACCTTCCGCATTTGGACCCTGCAGATCCAGAATTCCTGATCCTATACGAGGAGGCCATCAAGGTGACTCTGGGAAATGTTAGCGTCGAGATTCTACCCATCAAGCCCTATGGAGTGGGGGTTTTACCCGTAGAATCTCATATTCATGACGCCCTACAAGGTTTTGGAGGCCGCGCCAGATCCACCAAGTAGCCATCCAGCCCTGCCGGCGAACCTAAAAGTCGACGGTGTGGGTAGCACTGTCGAGAGACACAAGGGTGTGTGGCACGACCATGTAAGTTTGGACTTTGGAATGACGGTTTCTCTTTGGAGCGCAAAGCTTGTTGACCGGGGCCGGGCCGGGGATTGACCGTTGACACATGCCGTGTCACTCTGACCGACTACGCCCGTCAGCACTTATGCCGGCTTTGTTCGGCTGTTTTAGTTTCCGTGTCATCGAAGGATCGGATCTGCCGAACGTTACATAAAAGTCTGCAAGATCTGCGACTGTTAGTGCGCGGTTCTTACTTCTCATCATCTCGACAAGGATCTTTGACAGCTGACCGGCTGTTAGTATCTCGACCACTCGCAGCTTGTTACGAACGGCAGAGGCTTGTTAGCAAGGGCATCTTATGATGAAGATACGACTTCATCTAGACGGCAGTACCGACGCGCCCGATAGCCGTTGATGCCGTTGCCTACTTGCCGAACATTGAGATGATCTGACCAAAACCTAGCATGGCAGGTAGCAAGCGACGTCTCCAACGGAGTGGCCTGCGCCCTATCAGTGACATGATGAGCGGCTCGTGGATGGTGCTATTGCTGGCAAGGTCGGAATCCATGTTGTTTATTGACCATGCTACCCCAGTTGGCAAAGCCCCAGTTGATTCAGCGAAGCCAGACAAGAGGGGAGCCCAGCGGGGACTGAACTGTTGCCATGACTGGCACGAAACGATCCGTAGAAGTTGTTGACTGCGGTAACCACAGAGGAGAGGGTGATGTAGAGGTGTCCGAGAATTGTCAACGTAAGTACATCGTCCTCTGGTGATTGGCTAGAATTGAGTTGAAGGCGTCTTGATGTCCTTTCTCCATAAAGGTCGAGTGCCCTGCATGAATACCACCCTGTTAGAGTGCAATGTCTTCCGCCGTAGAGGTGCTCTGACTAACTGACTTCATCTCCAAGTCCGAGTTTGCTTACCTGTACTAATATGCCGTGTCCACTTTCCTCCTCGCTTCTTGGCAACCATGCGATGCCACTTTTTTTCTTCTTGCCTCCCTATCATCAACACTAGTGGACGAGTCCTCGATGCCTCTGAGTAAACAGAACTGTATCTCGTGTAATGCCTAGGACTTTACCTTGTGCTGTGAGGCCATGCCAGTGAACGCTGAGGGAATCAACCAACTGTAGGAACAGGCAGACGACGATCGCACCTTGTCAGTTGACTTGATTGGAAGCCGGTAGGGTCATAGACAATCCTCCAGAAAACTGATATGTCAGCTTGTCTGCAAGGACCTGAGCCTTACAGTGTCCCGGGCCTTCAAATCGTATGATGGAGGTTGCAACAGGCAGTTGAAGTTTTCAGACGATGTTGTAAGCTCGAGAGTGAATGTTGCCATTCACTCTATGAGATTTCATTCTCATCCAATCACCTAACTCACCGCCTTCCGCACCGGTCAATGCTGAAGATTCTGTTCCCTACCTCTATGGTTCAAGTCATCCACTTGACACTCGCTAACCACTAGGTTGCAAGCATAGAGTGGTGATCGACTGTCAGCTTCAGCCAACAGCTGCATCGAGCTCAAAACTGGAAGATCATGAACAGGCAGAGAGTAGAACCTCGCATGGGCAGATGTGCGTTTGGTGATTCACGTACCATTGGCTCCGGACGTGATATCGTCAGGATCATGATGCTTGTCGGCCCTGGAGCTGGATGAGCATGTCTGTCAGCACGGTTGGTGGAGGGGAGGGGGAGGATGAGGACTTGAGGAGGAGGAGGAGGGGGATGAGAAGGAGAAGATGTGATGATTGTGTTGAAGATGATGTGGATGGAGGAGAGAAATCGGGTATAAAAGTCTCTCCTCCCTCCTCCTTCTCTCCTCCATCCAGATCATCATCAACACAATCATCACCTCTTCTCTTACTCACACAACAACACCAAAACCACACAACCAAAACCTCCTACCAACCACCATCAAAATGCAGTTCTCCACCATTCTCCTTTCAGCCATTGCCTTCTTCGCCGGCGCTGAGGCCTGCAAGTGCCTCAACTCCAACGGTGGCGTTAACAAGGGCGCCTCCGAGGCCTGCTGCCACCAGCAGAACGGCAGCTGGCGCAACGGAAACGACTGCGCCGCCAGCTCCATCTCCGAGCATTTGTCCAACTTCCGCAGCTGCTGCAAAAACAGCGGCGCGCAGACCTCGGACTGCGACTACCCCCACAAGGCTTCTGCTGACGCCGATGATGGCATCATGGCTGCTCCCGTCGTGGATGGCATTGCTATTAGCACCATTGTCGAGAGGAACAAGCGCGCTGTTCCCACCAGCTTCTAAGCGAATGCCGGTGATCTGTGTGGTATGAAACGGTGAGTCTTGACTCTGAAGCAGTGAGTGATGGGATAGATGGCTAACTCAAGATGCCCCAGCTCCTGACAGCGACATCCAAGTGGAGGACGGGGTGGGGCCTGAAGTGGACATGATGAGACGATGGTTTTGGAAATGAAGGATTAAAACAGTTCAAGGTGGGAGATGGTGTGAGTGTGAACGAAAAGAGACGAGATCCAGTGGTGTTTTAGGGGCGGCGAAGCTTGGCTATCATGTGCAGACGAGGCATTTGTCCTGGACGATGTACGCTAGATTAGCACTTCTTCTATGGAAAAGCGAATCTAGTGTCGTCACAAAATCTCGACCTCTTTCCATTGGTATCGCGGGTGATTGTAAATCGTGGACAAGCCAACTGACGGGGGGTTAGGAACTGACAGCAAACTTGAGCAACCGCAAAGCGTAGAGTACTTAACCCAGGCAAACACGCTGGTGTTGTCGTCAAAGTGCTTCAGGTTGAACGGCAGATCGTGGGTGGCAGTGGGAAGATGGAAGCAGGATGGAAGTGTGAACAACTAACGGGAAGGACGAGGAGAGCTCGGGGAGAGCCCCCATTATCTCAGCGCTCAGACCTCCCCACACTTGGGTGGACTCTTGGGTGCACGTGCTACATTACGAGTAGCAAAATAATTTATCGAGATAAAATCTGTTATTTCTAGATTGGGTAGTTTTTTATGTCTAAGCCCTAAGAGGTCTAAATTTATAATATAATCCTAAGCATAACCTTTATACCTAAACTAGCTAGCTATTATTAATATTATTACAATTCTACTAAAATTGGTCGTATTACGAAAATTTTAAGTATATTGTAGTCGCGTAAATTAGCGCTTTATTTTAATACTCTTTGATACTATGGCCGACGATTCCTAAGGTTGTGATAATGTACCTAACCTCTTATAGTATTTATATATTTAATGTTATTAATGTAGTCCAAGTTAGAGATAATAATGATAATAATAATAATAATATCTTTCTTTTCTCTTATTTAATTTTATTAATATTATATTAATTCCTTTAAATTAGGTACGAATATTAAGGTTTAATCTCCCTCCTTTTGAATTACTAGCTCTAGTATAATTATAATTAAATATATTAAAGTTTAATAATTTTGAATTTCCGGTTAATAATCCGGTCGATAACGAAGATTATAATATTATTCCTAAGATTATTAAAGTATAGAATATGCAACGGACGAATTTTAATAAAAATAAAGGCTTAAATACTGCGTTTAGGAATTATAGTATTAAGTCTTTCTTAGTCTAATAGCTTAAAAATAAGTGAAGAGGTTCGTAATTCGCTAGTATTCTATTCGATAACGAAGTATAAGAAGCTTTATAATAATCCGGTATTATTATAATATCCGTCGAAGCTATAAATATGATACAGGAAATGTACGATAGATAGATAGATAGACTGCACCCTTTGTGCCTGTCCTGGAAGGTCCACCTTCCAGAACCCTCCGGCAGGCACCGGGCCGCCCTGGCCAGCCTTCACCAGGCCTTGCCGGCCAACAAAGGTTCTTATAACCTTTGTTGACCGCCTTTACCAAGGCGACTATTTATAGGAAGAAAGATAGTACCTTCTAGAAGCCTTACAGCCACCTACTTCACCAAGCTACAAGGCCCCCTCTAGCTAGCCTATTTCCTTCCTTCTGCATTACGCTTCCTACTTAGAATACCAAATACAAGGTCTTCTATAGGAATCCCAAACTTCCGCAACAAATGGTAGCTACAACTTAACAGTTAAGCTAACCGACCGCCTTTTCAAAAAACGTCACGATTAATTAATAATTTCACCGCTGCGCGGCACCCGTTTTTACTGACTTATTAAGTATAGTCTAATTACGGCGTTGAGCCCTAATTTAAGTAGGAACGAGAAAGTCAAACCGACTCCTCGAATTATTTTAAACCACGGCGTTGAGCCCTAGATTAGGCAAAACGAGAATTTTCTATACTAATAATCCCGAATTATTTGAATTATAACGTTAAACTTTAGATTTAAATAAAGTTCGAAAAATTTCTAATAAATTTCGACTTATCCCTCTTAACCGTTAAGGTATAGACGATAAAAATAAAGTATTGTAGAATATTTAAGTAATTTTTGCGTAACGCGAACCTAAATTTTCCCTTTACTATTGTACCCCTCTTTGCCTTAATGAAAATTGGTTAATTAGAAGAGTAGCGATGCGTTTTTATTACTTAGATCCAGACGTGACTTATTATCACCTCCGACGCTAAAGGTTTCCCCCGCTTCCGAGACGTATATAGTAGTAGGACTATAGCATTCTTTATTCCTCTCGTTGATCATCGTCACCTAAAAACCTAAAAATAAAATTAAAATAGTTAACCTAGAGGATTACGAATTGCCTAAGTACCCGCCCGATAACCCGTAGGTTACCGGCAATAACCCATAGCCTACCAGCGATAATTTATTTCCCGATAAAAAGTTATTTCCCGACGATAGGCTATTATCTGATAAACTTCCCCTCGGATAAATTACATTACAATACTCCCCTATCCGATACAGATACCTAAATTTAAGTCCCGCTACCTCCCGAGGAAACGTCGGCCTTTAAACTGCTATTAAAGCTTACCGGCTATTAATAAAATACAAAAAGTATTTCGAGATTAATAGCCAAAAGAACGGAGTTAGAGTATTAAGAAGAATTATTAGAGGATTATAAAGATAAGGAACGAGGAATAAACCCGAGAAGGGAATTAAAAATTAAAAATTTATTAAAGAAAGAACCGCCGGAATTTAGAAAATAGTTAAATAATTATAGAAATAATAAATTATTTATATTTTATTTTTAAAATTTATTGAACTACTTTAATTGGAAATTATATAGAATGAAATAAGCTAGGACGGATAACGACCTAACTTAAATTAGGAAGATTACAGAACTTGCCATAAAATTGAATAATTATCTATAAAAACGCAATAATAAAAATACTTTATTTAATTAATAGTTAATTAATACCGTCTTTAATTGCTAAAAAGTAATTGACGAAATATTTAAATAAATAGATAGCCTAAATAAAGTAATTAATTAGGTAAACTTGTACATTATTACAATAGAAATTAGAGTTATTGATATAAAATTTAAAGTTACTAGTATAATAACCAAGGTTAATAGCGTAGAAGTAAAGATTACTAACGGAACGATAGATTGTATTAAATATAATAAAGTAAGAGACGTAATTATAAAGAAAGTGGAGAATTTAGAGTAAATAGTGCAAGGATTATTAAGGAATTTGGAAGATATAATACTAAACCTAGCCCGAAAAAATCTATAGTTAAAAGGGTTATCCAAATCCCTCTTCGAAAGAATATAGTTAATTAAATTAAAAAATAAATAATATTATAATATAGTTAATAATACTAAAAATACTACCCTCCCTAAGAATACTATCGATTTAGAGATATTTTTCATTAAAGTAATAGAAACCCTTCGTAGAGATCTAGCCTACGCGGAATTTACCCCAAGCTTTCGACGGCTTAGAAAGCCGCTTAAACCCCGGCCCCAGACCCTCCGGGCAACGACCTTAACGCATTTTCGTCCAAGGATAACCGCTTCCGTAGAAAGGATATCGGCTAACTTTACCCTTTTTATGATAATCCTAACGATATCGGTATAGTATTAAATAGTAAAAATATAATTTATATTAATGTTTTTTACTTTATAGATCGTTTAAAATCCTTTACAGAAGACCCTATTTTAAGTAGAATTGCAGAAAGATAAATTATAACTATATTCCAGACCTTATTAAACGGACCAACCGTACGTTAATAGACTAACGAAATTTCTCTTAATACGCGATACGACTTTCGTTTTAAGGGCTTATTTAAATTGATAGAGGATTTAATTAAATATTTTACCCCCGATTTAGCTATAGTTATTCGTAAATTTACCGAAGCTATTTTGAAACTTAAAGATATTATTGAAAATAATAATGCCCTTACTTAGTTCGTCTAGATAAAGTTCCGCTAAGTTAAGGCTATGGGAATCTTTAATAAGGACGGCGATAATTGCTATAGTATTATAATATAAATTTAGTTAAGTTTGAATATTAATATTCGCCGCTATTTTACTGCCCCGTTAAAAAGGAGAAGCTTTATTAATTATATATAACTCCTCGAAGAATTTCGGGTCTTGTTATACGCTGCTACTTTGGATTAGTACTTATATTTAATAAGTAAAATATATAAATTTAAGGATTCTAGGGACGATAAAGGAAAGTAACCCTATAAAGGATAGGGGCGCTCTAATTCTTTTTCCCGAAACGATAACCGTTCTAACTCTTTTAGCTAGTTCAAAAATAATAATTACGCTAAGGAAAGTAATTACTTTTAGAATTATTCTCGGGATGATTCCCAAAACCGTTCTAGAGATTATTAGAAGGATTATAAACCCTATAATAAGAATTATAATAAACCCCGTAATAAAAATTATAATAAACCCTACAATAAAATTTATTTCGTTAACAATAAAGGATCTTTAAATTCTTCGATTATAGATTTGAACTATTTCGTTTTTAATACTAAATTAATATATAATAAGTATTTTAAATACTTCGATTCCTACGCTATAACGAAAGTCTACGTCCGGAAATACCGCTATTCTATTGTAATTAGAACCGAAGTTAGAAAAATACTAAAAGTCTACGTATTAAATATAGTTATTGCGATACCTAGTTCAATTTTAGAAATAAATTATTTATTTATTTAAAGGAATACAACGCCTAGAAGGAGGCTAGTAATATTCCCTACATCCGCTTCGTAGAATATAAGATTAATAATATCCTTATAGTCCCGGATCCTTGGGCCTACTTCGGAACTAACCTATCCGGATATATTATTAAGGAAGCCTTAGAAATCAATGAAGAAAATTTCGAATATAGACTCTTATTAATATATACCTATTTAAGGATTGATATAAAAGCCGGACTTAG